TAAAATATTTACAATTTGACAGTAATAAAGAGAAAAAAGATATATAGAAAACATGGAACATAACAGCTCCACATCGCTACACTTGGATAATTACAGTAGGATAATCATATATATATATAACCATGATATGAAAACTAAAAACACTACAGGTATATTGGGTTTAAGAAAGAAGTTTATAAGAAAAACTATTAGAGAATTGCGAACACAATTCATCATATTTTTGTTGTTGCTATTCATCGCTCCGTGTTAAAGATTGTTCACTTTGATTACGAATATGTCAACCCTTTAACTCCCAAGATCTCATTGGTAATTCTCCTTACTGTCTGCCATATAGTTCTTGTGATTTTAGTTTGGAGAATTTGGTATTGGATCAACTAGTAATCCCCTAATTAATGTTTTTCTTTATTCTCATGACTTGTCTGCTTGATAATGTATTGATATTATGAGGAGTAATTCTGTCTTGGTCATTCTTGGGAGTTAAAGGGTTAAATGACGGATCTTAATCATTCAATTTGCATTTGTAGACAAAACGTTTTGCCTTGAGTATCAGTTGATTACTATAATATTTGCATCGGATGTAACTGAAAGCAAAAATGAGGAATGAGGAATGTGGAATGGGAAAATAAAATGGGAAATTAAAAATGGGAAATTACTTTTTCTGGAGATTTAATGTTTATAATGCGGGAATAGATATTTATTAGCGTTGATAATCGATATCCAAGCTTTCTTTCAAAAACGTTCAGAGGCAAAATTTAAGGGACGGAATAATTAATGATAACGAAAGAAATGATACGTGACAGTTAATGAATGTTACAAAACCAAATTTCATTTTTTTCGGTAACAAGTGATAGGTCAAATTAAATCTGTTGAAAATAATGAAAGACCTATTTTGATGTTTCTCTGAAAATTAAAAAATTTTAAACGAAAACTTATCGTAATGGACGTAGAGCTTGAAATTCAGGGAATATCACTTGAGGTATATCCTCGTGCATGCCCCTGTTTCAGGAGGATAGTTGGTCACATGATGCGTTTAGACCAATCACGCGCGACGAAAAATATTTGATGAATCATAACCAAAATTATTCCCTCTCAAAAACAGTAAATCTACGAGGAAAAAATGAATTTACCATCATCAATTCCCATTTTATTTTCCCATTCCTCATTCTCCATTCCCTATTCCATATTTCTTATTCCATAAGTTCCATTCTACATTTGCCATTCGCTTTTAGTAACATCTCAATAGCATCGCACCTGAGAACCAGCCTTAAGCGGCAGTTGGATCCTTTTGTTCCTAATATCATGCAATATCCATAGGTGTTATGCTGGTAAATTAGATACATATTTGAAACGGATTTGGAGTGGATAACAGTCTTGCCTGTGTCCGAGGACAGATAAAAGGAGAGCCGTTATTCAGCCGGTTGGTTTAAGTTAATTATTTTTGTTTTCATGAATTTCTTGTGATATGTGAACCAAAAAGTGATTTTGTAATCTGGGTGGAGGGTGGACGCGATACGAGTGAATAATTTCCTTTCGGAAGGACATAGTTTTGTAACTGAAGCCATTTTACAGGAATCGGCTCGTTCTCTCACATCTTTTAAGTGTTACTAACGCTGTTTTGAAAACACTGTGCTTTTCAAATTACCAGTGTCTGGTTAGGTTTAAACGAAATGCGGATTTGCAGTTAGAGGTTGGCAGTTAGAGTACACGGGCCTTAAAGCGAGCACTCAGTAGTTTCAGAGTCGGAGTTCTACCGTATCACGAGTCAGGTTCGCACCTTGGTCGGGTTCGGCGTTAAGATAACGGCGTAATTCGTGATTTCATTCGTCTGTACACACGAACTTTCATGTTTTTGGATATTACCGGTATATATTATAATCAACCATAATAAAGCCACTAACACATCGACGAGATGTCTACCTTTGCGTTCGTACAGTAGTCTCACATTGCCAGTAACGCAATTGTAAGAATGACCAACTGGCTATCTCTGGGTCTATATAATGGGAAATTGCCATAGAGCCAGTAGCGCAATGACTTAACGGCTACCTTTGCGTTAGTATTAAAGGGGAATCTTATATAACCAGTAAAGTAATGACTTCACGGTCACGATAGCTAAGACCTAAGACCTAAGACCCCTCAAAAAATTAAGACCCCTCGATCACTAAGACCTCTCGAAAACTAAGACCCCTCGAAAGACTGGTGCAGGATTCAGGTTTTCGCACTTGAAAAAAAAATGCAAAACTAAGACCCCTATTTGAATTCATGGCTCATTACAGCGCAACACTTGACTACAGTTCGAGTCACGACTTTTGAGAAACGTGACACATCGAGAGCATTCTTTGCTGCGCTGACGTAAGAAACTATGAATTACGCGCTCCTAATTCAGGCCACGTCCACTCTAATGTGTGGTGAATTTTATTCATTAAGAAAAGAGAAACAGAAAGCTCACTTTTTCATTCTGAATTAAATATAGTGTAAATTCAGCAGTGAAAAGTTTACTTATCTATATTCTACGTTTAATTTTGCAGCTCAATAGCCTGAATGTATACACCTCAAGTAAAATTCACAATCTCTCCGGGTTGAAAAGATCACCTTGGCTTCTTCTCTCTTTTAAAATATTCCGAACCCAAAAGTTTTTCGAGGGGTCTTAGTTTTCGAGGGGTCTTAGGTCTCACAGCATGAAATCGCAAATTTACGCATCTTTAACTCTTGCATAAAGAAACGTAAATATAAAGCCTCTTCTTTAGGGACAAGTTCCACGTTCCGTAAAGATGCGTAATTGCAAAGAAAGCGTAAAGACTGCGTAAAGGATATTAAATGTTCGTAAAGGATAAGGTAAAGTTTCCGCACAGCCCCATACTATTGTAAAACAAATCTGTTTTCCCAACGGAAATGTATTGTTTTTGTCATTGTTTTCTATGTTCAAGAACTGAATGCATAATGTAGGATGGGGCTGTGCGGAAATTTTACCCTCATCCATCTTCAGTAGAATTACCGAGGTATTTTGACCAGTTTCGCTTTTAACACTTTACGCATCTTTAATATTCTTTACGCATCTTTACTCACTGTTCTTTACGAACCTTTAAGATTCTTTAACATTCTTTACGCACAATCAATCTTTACGCGCCGTTAATTCTCTTTACGAATCTTGATTATCAATATTTTGCCTTCACTACACAACCGAACACACTCAAAGGTTGAGGCATGGGCGCGTTGGTCAGCTAGGCCCAAGATATATTTTAATTGTGACAATGAGTTTACAACAAAGTGGATAAGAGATACATCAAGTAACGTCCTACAGGCGCCAAAGCCGGACACGTAAACCCCAAAAACCTCTTGTTAGGAAAATAGGGACCGTGTACCCCCGACCAACTGCAGTGGCGCCACCTTTGGGGTTTTAAGGTTGATCTATAAACAATGAAGAGAATGAAGAAAACAAATCATATCAGGCTAATTACACAATAAAAATAAACCTTATGGGAAAGTGCTAGTGGCAAGGCTGACCGTAGAATGCCACAAGTTTCTCAACGGTCTCTTCTTACAAACATACTACCCATGAGCCTTCGCGTACTACGCTCGCACCCAGTTCTCTGTTCCGTGTCGGCAAAATATTAATTTGTGTCAATACCGATTATCACAAATTACATGGTTCTAGCATTGTTTTAGTCCTCCGGACGTTTGATGAAGAGTCCCTGGGGACGAAAATACATAGAAACGAGGCTGCCGCAGATCGGCAGGAGAGTATAAGAGGTAATTGCCCCCGCAGGGTTTTTGGCCCCAGAGGGCCAAAAACCCGAGGAGGCACCTTAGGACTCCCCGCGTAATATAGAGGAAGACTGGAGAAGAGAAAATGTAGGTATTTTCGGTAGATCGTAACCAGAAAAAATCTCGATTTGATCGCTTGCACGGCCGCAAGGTATCAACGTTTTTCCCGCAAATGGTCATGGGCGGCCAGCAAAAACGCGCGCGAGTACTATTGGGATCGGCGTCTTTGATACAAGCTTTGTCCTTGTCGAGATTTCGAGTTAAGCGTCCCTGAAAAGCGTCGAGAAGCGTTTCCAAGTCCAACGGTAAGTGTGTATAGCATCTTTCTAACAATTAAAGGTAGTTTTGAGTTTAAAAGGTGATCAAAATCCGTCAAAAGAGAAACAGTTGTGTGAAGTCTCGATCGAAGGCGGCGGAGGGTCCACAGCTCAGTCAGCTAACGTGAGAACTTAAAGCAAAGAACTTGCAGCATAATTAAAGTATAACCAGATATCAAATACATGAAAAAGTTGAGCTTCTAACTCGTTTGCTTTGATGTTGGATTATTCTCAGAGTTATAGAGTTTCATTTGTGTTATACAGAAGTTAATACAGAAATAATTTCACCGATGCTCAGAAGACGGTGTAAGTTTAGCATTTTGACCGTAAGACTCGGTTAACTCCGATTTGTCAGCCGCAAATCAAGCTTATTGCACAAAGCCGAAAGACTCGGCAATTTCTGGATTTGTCAGAGGCAAGTCTGCCACCTATAACATTCCAATGTCAAAACTCACCCAAGTCCCTACATTCTGCTTCTTCTTGATCGTGAAGAACAAACAAATCCTAAGTTGAACCACACAGCAAAAAAAAAAAAACATCCCAAGCACTTCCCAAAACTACATTTTGTACACTTGTAGTATTTTGAGATCCAAAATTATTAAAACCAAAGTACTGAGCGCAATTCCGTAACAACATAACAGAAAAATTACACAACTGTAATCAACAAGCCCAACTCAAAAAAAAAACAATAGAAAATGGTACTGTAGGGCGGGGGCAGCTCTAGTGAGAACTATGACTAGTTTAGTTCGTGTAGTGTGATCGTCCGGATGAGTGTAGTCCTGAAAAGAACTGTTGTTGGTTTAGTGTTAACAACTGAGTTGAAAACGTAAATTAGCCACCGTAAAGAGTTAAAAGGCTGACGTTTCGAGCGTTAGCCCTTCGTTAATCGCTCTGATGAAGGGCTAACGCTCGAAACGTCAGCCTTTTAACTCTTTACGGTGGCTAATTTACGTTTTCAACTCAGTTGTTAACACTTAATTACGTCTTTAATTCGGACGAATCTTCCGACAAGTTCGGTACTGTTTGATAAAGGATCGTGTTCACGAGACTGCAATGAGCCTATCAGAAGGTGAGACATATATTTGTATTCATGACGCGAATAGTAGCGTCCTTTTGGCGTCGTTTGCGATTACTCCTGGCTTTACTTTTAACGTGTGAAGTCATCTGTGGACTATTTTTCTTTCAAAATGTCATGAATTTCCGACCTTTACTCCTGGCCTTACTTTTGGCGTGTGAAGTGATCTGTGGACTCTTTTTCTTTCAAAATGTCAAGGACTTCCCGCCTTTATTCCTGGTTTTGGCGTGTGAAGTGATCTGCGAACTCTTTTTCTTTCAAAATGTCAAGAATTTCCGACCACATCAGCGTGAGCGACAGTTTTACTGTGCTACTGGACGATTCTTTGAAAGAAAGCCAATCATTAAGAGAACAATTGAGGCAGCAAAATGCCTTAAAGTTCGAAGAGCTTTCAAACAAAGTGGACTCTTTGTGCAAACTTGTCGCCGAGAAAAACTCGGGCAGCAAGGAAACGAAATCAAAGAAAGGTAACAAAGGTTCATGTGCCTACAAGCTGTGCGAAACCAATGAGACATTTTGTATATCTATGTAAAAATATTTATATTTATGATATTTGTATTTTTCAGTTCTTATCCTGTGTATATAAACCTCTTGCTACGTTACTGTGAAAATTACAAAATCAAGTTAAAGAGTTATGACAATAAAATAAATTGCAATGTGTAAAACACGAGTTGTTATATATGGATCAGTCCTTGAAAGGCATGTACAGCATCGTTTTACAGAAGCGTAAAATATCGCAAACGTTCGGCATAGGGTAAAATATGGACTGGACTATTTTTTGGACCATTTTTTGGACCATTTTTTGGACTATTTTTTTTGGACCATTTTGAAGGGGGGAAGCACACCATTAGTACTGAGGGAGGGTAGGATGAAGTCTATCAGTACTAAGAGAGGGGTGGGAGGTGGAGTGTTATTACTCAGGGAGGGGTGTGAGACGGACAATTACTACGCAGGGAGGGGTGAGAGGTGGTTGTAATGGTAAACACTACTGGTTAATGGAGCTTTAACTCGATCACACAAACAATTTTGATTGGTTTTTCGTCTGAGTTTTTGTATGTTAAAATTTTAGCGCTTGGCCGCTGCGTTTCTTCATTTTTTTGTCATGCGAAAGCGAAACTGCCACGAAACACTGGACTTCTACGTTTTGCCGACGGAAATTATCAGTAAGCAACAGTAGCCACCATAGTTCCACTTCGCAGGCTTCATAGGTTTTAACGCAAGAACTGATCGACAGCCGATTGGGCAAATTGGAAAACAAACCTAGGGGAGTCGCGAGGAATACCTGGTCGCGATTTCCGGTGTCGGTGATTATCTCCTTTGTTTGCGAAACAGATGAAATCGAAATTTGCGCTTTCCCATTTTGAGAGAACAGCAGTGTTTTTGGTCGATTCGAGAACATGGATTCCTCTTCGAAATCGTTCGCTGATGATTTTATATAAACTTTAAAATTGCGATAGCGCTTGTGAATTCTAAATGCTGCTAAGTTAAGACCGGAAATTCCGTGATCTCGTTTGATAAGATCTATGACAAAAGGAAGATAGTTAAGGTAGTAATTACATACTGTATACACAAAGGGAAATTTGAAGCAACTGATGGTGCACAAGTTGACTCAAAAAAGAGGATCCGTAAAGAGGATCTTAAAGCTTTCTTCACGGCATCTTAACGGATTCGTAAATTTATCAGTTCATGCTGTGTCTTAGGTCTTAGCTTTCGTGACCCCCGACTTAACGGCAACATTTACGTACGCATAATAGGAGATTCTAAGATAGCCAATAACGCAACGACTTAACGGCTACTTTTGAACCAATAAATATCATTTTCATCAAACAGGTTATGTTAACGTTCGTCTCTACGTTGGCCTGGAGGCAGTCATCTCGGTTCTGTCATATCAGGCCGATCAAACATGCCACTTCTAATGTCTTGTCTACAAAAACAAGTTCAGTAACAGGCAGAATTTTTGAGCGAATTCCTAAAGAGGAGCTGGCACCGACAACCAGACCACGGGTGCGAAACAGGGAGTTTCTCCCAGGCTCGACGGGTGACGGATTCCCAGAGTACTTGGCAGAGCCAAGTGACTCTTTCCCGCACGGAGTGCGCGTCAAAACTAGAGATCAGTCCTCACTCTCAGAAATGGGTGCAAATTGCATGGAGTACATAAAGAAGAACCTTACCGATAGGCAGGCGATATTGTTCCGCGGAATTCCAGCTGATACAGCAGAGGAATTCTTGGCCTTAACCCAAGGAATGCGAGGCAAGCCTCTGAGCTACGAGGGTGGTGCTGTACCCAGACCCAAGGAATTGAAAAATTCTGACATCTACTTTTCCAGTGCTGAACCTGGAGCGTACACCATCGAGTTACACAATGAAATGCCATATCTCAAGACTTTCCCCAGGAAGGTATTTTTAGACTAAAACACAGACTAATAATGCTGAGACACCAGGGTATTTTGAGGGCGCTCCTCACCACCCCACTCAGTCACCAGGTTTATGATGCGCTATCACTAATTCAGTAGTTCTTTCGCTCATCCATACATTCCTTCATTCGTGGATAAGTTAACTCGTACTTTGGTTTATTTGCTCCCTTAATCAGTTCGTTCTCCCATCTGTTCAATCGTTTACCCATTTATTCGATTATTCGTTGTCTTGTTCACTTATTTACATGTTCTCTTGTTCATCCGTTCATTTGCTAATCCTCTCATTTACCCTTTCGATTATTGCTTCATTAGTCAATTGGTTCTTTGCTTCATTGCTTCACAGGTTCATTTGGTTTGTTCGCTAATACGATTATTTTTTTTTATCCACTCGTCGATTCTTCCATTCCTTTATCCGTCCATTAACTTTTCTCATGCATTAATTGGTCTTCTTTAGATTTTCTTTTTCTGCCTAAAAGAGCCTGGCGAGAGTTGTGGTGGCGAGACTCCTTTGGCTAAATGCAGCGACATTGTATCCAAACTTGATCCCGAAGTCGTAAAAAAGTTCGAGGCAAAAGGAGTCATGTATGTACGACATCTGCCGGATAAATCACGGTCAGACTACATGCCCTGGCAGCATCAGTTTTACACTGAAGACAGAAAGGTAATACAACTTGGTTCACATCAGGAATCCAGTGTCAGAATTGATTGTCCTTTAAAGACAAAAAAAAATTTTGGAGATTTCAAAAGAAAATGACGATTTTCAGTCTCGAAGCCGGTTATTGAATTTACATTGATGACCTTATTTACTCTTTTAGGCAGCAGAAATAAGAGCACAGCAGCGAGGTAACACTGTAAGATGGGACGATAACGGTGATATGTACCTGACTTACACCGCGCCGGCCTTTCTTTCTCATCCAGTAACAGGAGAAAAAATCTGGTTCAACCAAGTAACAAGTTCCCACTGTACTTACTCGAAAGCACTGCCACAGTACAAAGATTCTCATCTCCCGGATGAGAAATATCCCCATAACACCTATTATGGAGACGGAAGTGACATCGAACCGGAAGTGTTGCAACACCTCAGAGCAGTTTCATGGTCATGCGCAGTTGGGTTCCGATGGAAGAAGGGTGATTTAATAGCGCTTGATAATCTGAACGTTCAGCATGGACGAATGGCCTTCACGGGAGAGAGAAAATTACTGGTGCATATGACGGCAGATTAAACCTGAACCTGAATTTGTATTCTAAAGCTAAGAAAAGTAATTTTCGCATATTATTATGTAACATTTTTGTTATGATGTACTCAGCTTATCTTGACGTCCTAGAATCTAGAGGGAAAGTTTGATAGCCACGAAATTTTTTTCCCTCTGAAATTTTTCGCAGAAAACAGCTTTATTTTGCTTTGCTAGATGAGCACAATAATTATAAAGATCCGCCCAGGGTAAACTTTGCAACCACATTGTGTCTTTTTGACTTGCAAATGTTTCTCAGCTGTCAAACTCAAGTGTTCTGAAACAGGTTATATATTAATGAGGCGCCCAGCCGTCTGAAGACACGTACAGTGGTCTGCTTTTCTGCTTTTATTTTAAACAGAGTAGTTACATCAAGGTACTACTAGAAATTCCAGTTTTCCTTAAAACTTTCTCACCTTCAGAAGTCATTTATAGGTAATATCACTACACAAAAAGTAATAAGGATAGAGTAAATTGCCAGCTAGTGTGTTTTGGTTGATAAAACACAGAATTCTTTCTATGTTTAATCATTTTTTTTTTTGCTACTATTTTTCGCTCTGTGTCAAAGATTGTTTTAACTTTGATCACGAAAATGTTAAATAATGGATCTTAATCATTCAATTTGCATTTGTGGACAAAAAGTTTTGCCATGAATATCATTTGATTAATATAACATTTGCATCGGATGTAACTAAAAGCAAAAATGAGGAATGGAAAATGGTGAATGCGAAAATAAAATGGGAAATTGAAAGTGGGAAATTACTTTTTTGGAGATTTAATGTTTGAAATGCAGAATAGATATTTATCGATGTTGATAATCGATATCGAAGCTTTCTTTCAAAAACGTTCAGGCAAAATTTAAGGGACGGAATAATTAATGATAACGAAAGAAATGATACGAGACAGCTAAAGAATGTTTTAAAACCAAATTTCATTTGTTTCAGCAACAAGTTATGTGTCAAATTTAATCTGTTGAGAAGAATGAAAGAGCCATCTTAATGTTTATCTGACAAGTAATAAATTGGAACTTTCGAAGAGGTTAGCCATTGAGGGCTTGAATTTTTCAGATTCCAAATACAAGTAACATCAAGCGACATAAGGAACCCACAGTTGAATATCCATTTTAAAATAGTGATCGTTTTATTTTTCGGAAGTAATAGATGTATGCTTCACAGAGAAATTCCGATAAGCAAAAGCACTTGCCTCACTTTCCAAATTAGCGGCTGCAGCAAAACTGAAACCATCTCAAAGAACAATTTTGCTTTCACGACTATAGGACGCGCCAAGTAGATAATGAATCTTACAGGTTTCAAACAGTAATTTGCATGAATATTGGTGGCAAGCGTGAGGCCAACTCCTAAACTTCCGGGGGTTTCCCGCAGACACGAGTAATTTCGTCCTTGAAATGTTCTTGTGATTTTAGTTTGGAGAATTTGGTATTGGATCAACTAGTAATCCCCTAATTAATGTTTTTCTTTATTCTCATGACTTGTCTGCTTGATAATGTATTAATATTGTAAGGAGAAATTCTGTCTTGGTCATTCTTGGGAGTTAAAGGGTAAAATGACGGATCTTAATCCTTCAATTTGCATTTGTAGACAAAAAGTTTTGCCGTGAGTATCAGTTAATTACTATAACATTTGTATCGGATGTAACTGAAAGCAAAAATGAGGAATGAGGAATGGGGAATGGTGAATGGGAAAATAAAATGGGAAATTAAAAATGGGAAATTAATTTTTTTGGAGATTTAATGTTTATAATGCGGGAATAGATATTTATTAGCGTTGATAATCGATATTCAAGCTTTCTTTCAAAAACGTCCAGAGGCAAAATTTAAGGGACGGAATAATTAATGATAACGAAAGAAATGATACGTGACAGTTAAAGAATGTTACAAAACCAAATTTCATTTTTTTCGGTAACAAGTGATAGGTCAAATTAAATCTGTTGAAAATAATGAAAGACCTATTTTGATGTTTCTCTGAAAATTAAAAAATTTTAAACGAAGACTTATCGTAATGGACGTAGAGCTTGAAAATCAGGGAATTTCACTTGAGGTATATCCTCGTGCATGCCCCTGTTTCAGGAGGATAGTTGGTCACATGATGCGTTTAGACCAATCACGCGCGACGAAAAATATTTGATGAATCATAACCAAAATTATTCCCCTCTCAAAAACAGTAAATCTACGAGGAAAAAATGAATTTACCATAATCAGTTCCCATTTTATTTTCCCATTCCTCATTCTCCATTCCCTATTCCATATTTCTTATTCCATAAGTTCCATTCTACGTTTGCCATTCGCTTTTAGTAACATCTCATTTGCATCGCACCTGAGAACCAGCCTTAAGCGGCAGTTGGATCCTTTTGTTCCTAATGTCACGCAATATCCATAGGTGTTATGCTGGAAAATTAGATGCATATTTGAAACGGATTTGGAGTGGATAACAGTCTTGCCTGTGTCCGAGGACAGATAAAAGGAGAGCCGTTATTCAGCCGGTTGGTTTAAGTTAATTATTTTTGTTTTCATGAGTTTCTTTTGATATGTAAACCAAAAAGTGATTTTGTAATCTGGGTGGAGGGTGGACGCGATACGAGTGAACAATTTCCCTTCGGAAGGACATAGTTTTGTAACTGAAGCCATTTTACAGGAATCGGCTTGTTCTCTCATATCTTTTAAGTGTTACTAACGCTGTTTTGAAAACACTGTGCTTTTAAAATTACCAGTGTCTGGTTAGGTTTAAACGAAATGCGAATTTGCAGTTAGAGTTTGGGTTGGCAGTTAGAGTACACGGGCCTTAAAGCGAGCACTCAGTAGTTTCAGAGTCGGAGTTCTACCGTATCACGAGTCAGGTTCGCACCTTGGTCGGGTTCGGCGTTAAGATAACGGCGTAATTCGTGATTTCATTCGTCTATACACACGAACTTTCATGTTTTTGGATATTACCGGTATATATTATAACCAACCATAATAAAGCCACTAACACATCGACAAGATGTCTACCTTTGCGTTCGTACAGTAGTCTCACATTGCCAGTAACGCAATTGTAAGAATGATCAACTGGCTATCTCTGGGTCTATATAATGGGAAATTGCCATAGAGCAAGTAGCGCAATGACTTAACGGCTACCTTTGCGTTAGTATTAAAGGGGAATCTTATCTAACCAGTAAAGTAATGACTTCACGGGGGTGTCACGATAGCTAAGACCTAAGACCTAAGACCTAAGACCCCTCAAAAAATTAAGACCCCTCGATCACTAAGACCTCTCGAAAACTAAGACCCCTCGAAAGACTGGTGCAGGATTCAGGTTTTCGCACTTGAAAAAAAATACAAAACTAAGACCCCTATTTGAATTCATGGCTCATTACAGCGCAACACTTGACTACAGTTCGAGTCACGACTTTTGAGAAACGTGACACATCGAGAGCATTCTTTGCTGCGCTGACGTAAGAAACTGTTAATTACGCGCTCTTAAGTTCGACAAGTGCTGTTTGATAAAGGATCGTGTTCACGAGACTGCAATGAGCCCATCAGAAGGTGAGACATATATTCATGACGCGAATAGTAGCGTCCTTTTGGCGTCGTTTGCGATTACTCCTGGCTTTACTTTTCACGTGTGAAGTCATCTGTGGACTCTTTTTCTTTCAAAATGTCATGAATTTCCGACCTTTACTCCTGGCTTTACTTTTGGCGTGTGAAGTGATCTGTGGACTCTTTTTCTTTCAAAATGTCAAGGACTTCCGGCCTTTATTCCTGGTTTTGGCGTGTGAAGTGATCTGTGAACTCTTTTTCTTTCAAAATGTCAAAATTAAGTTAAAGAGTTATGACAATAAAATAAATTGCAATGTGTAAAACACGAGTTGTTATATATGCATCAGTTCTTGAAAGGCATGCACGGCATCGTTTTACAGAAGCGTAAAATATCGCAAACGTTCTCAAAACGACTTTTGGCAATACGCGCTAGGATAGCGCATTACGTTGATGTTGTCACGAGCTCGCATTCGTTATAGTCTGATTAGCAAAAGGGAATGTTGCCAAAAAATTCAGACAGCTGGAAAATGGCAAATGGGCATGTAAATATTGCCCAGTTACGATAGTTTAGCAACGCGTGAAGATCGCCTTTCTGACCGCTTTACAGTCGCCGTAAAATATCGTAAATATTCACTATACGACTTTTTACAAGGCACGTAAAGATAACGTTTTTAGTCTCTCTCCGTGGTCTTTACGTACTATCGTTTTCAATGCGTAAAGACATTCTTTACGATAGTGTAAAGAAGTTCGTAAAGACGCGTAAAGAGGATCTTAACGCTTTCTTTACGGCATTTTTACGGATTCGTAAATTTATAATTTCATACTGTATCTTAGGTCTTAGCTTTCGTGACCCCCAACTTAACGGCAACATTTGCGTACGTATAATAGGAGATTCTAAGATAGCCAATAACGCAACGACTTAACGGCTACTTTTGAACCAATAAATATCATTTTCATCAAACAGGTTATGTCAACGTTTGTCTTTACGTTGGCCTGGAGGCAGTCATCTCGGTTCTGTCATATCAGGCCGATCAAACATGCCACTTCTAATGTCTTGTCTACAAAAACAAGTTCAGTAACAGGCAGCATTTTTGAGCAAATTCCTAAAGAGGAGCTGGCACCGAAAACCAGACCACGGCTGCGAGACAGGGAGTTTCTCCCAGGCTCAACGGGTGACGGATTCCCAGAGTTCTTGGCAGAGCCAAGTGACTCTTTCCCGGTCGGTATGCGAGTCAATACTGGAGACAAATCCTCTCTCTTAGAACTGGGTGCAAATTGCATGGAATACATAAAGAAGAACCTTGCTAATAGCCAGGCGATATTGTTCCGCGGACTTCCAGCTGAAACAGCAGAGGACTTCTTGGCCTTAACCCAAGGAATGCGAGGTAAGCCTCTGAACTACGAGGGTGGTGCTACACCCAGACCCAAGGAGTTGAAAAATTCTGACATCTACATCGCCACAACTGAGCCCGGAGCGTACACCATCGAGTTGCACAATGAAATGGCGTATCTCAAGACTTTCCCCAGGAAGGTATGTCTAGAATGAAATAAAGGCGAGTGATGCTGAGGTGCCGAGGTATTTTGTGGGCGCCCCACACCACCCCAATCTGTCACCAGGTTTATGATGCGCTATCACTAATTCAGTAGTTCTTTCGCTAATCCATACATTCGTTCATTGTGGATAAGTTTACTTGAACTTTGGTTTATTTGTTTCCTCGTTTTCTTGTTCTTTCGTTCATTCACTTGTTCACTTGTTCACTTGTTCACTTGTTCACTTGTTCACTTGTTCACTTGTTCACTTGTTCACTTGTTCACTTGTTCACTTGTTCACTTGTTCACTTGTTCACTTGTTCACTTGTTCACTTGTTCACTTGTTCACTTGTTCACTTGATCACTTGATCACTTGTTTACTTGTTCCCTTGTTCAATTATTCAATTGATCACTTGTTTAATTGTTCACTTGATCACTTGATCACTTGTTCACTTGTCCACTTGTTCACTTGTTCACTTGTTCACTTGTTCACTTGATCACTTGTTCACTTGATCACTTGTTCTCTTGTTCACTTTTTCACTTGATCACTTGATCACTTGATCACTTGTTCACTTGCTCACTTGCTCACTTGCTCACTTGCTCACTTGTTCACTTGTTCACTTGTTCACTTGTTCACTTGTTCACTTGTTCACTTGTTCACTTGTTCACTTGTTCAATTGTTCACTTCACTTGTTCACTTGTTCACTTGGGCACTCGATCACTTGATCACTTGTTCACTTGTTCACTTGATCACTTGATCACTTGATCACTTGATCACTTGATCACTTGATCACTTGATCACTTGATCACTTGATCACTTGATCACTTGATCACTTGATCACTTGATCACTTGATCACTTGTTCATTTGATCACTTGATCACTTGTTCACCTGATCACTTGATCACTTGTTCACTTGATCACTTGATCACTTGTTCACTTGATCACTTGATCACTTGTTCACTTGTTCACTTGTTCACTTGAGCACTTGAACACTTGTTCACTTGTTCACTCGAGCACTCGAGCACTTGAGCACTTGAACACTTGTTCACTTGTTCACTTGTTCACTTGTTCACTTGTTCACTTGTTCACTTGTTCACTTGTTCACTTGTTCACTTGTTCACTTGTTCACTTGTTCACTTGTTCACTTGAGCACTTGTTCACTTGTTCACTTGTTCACTTGTTCACTTGAGCACTTGTTCATCCGTTCATTTGCTAATCCTCTCACTTACCCATTCGATCATTGCTTCATTAGTCCATTAGTTCACTGCCTCATTGCTTCACAGGTTCATCGGTTTATTCGCTAACACGATTATTTTTTCATTCGTCCACTCGTTGATTCTTCCATTCTTTTATCCGCCTATTAATTTTTCTAATGCATTAATTGATCTTCTTCAGGTTTTATTTTTCTGCCAAAAAGAGCCTGGCGAGAGTTGTGGTGGCGAGACTCCTTTGGCTAAATGCAGCGACATTGTATCCAAACTTGATCCCGAAGTCGTGAAGAAGTTCGACGTAAAAGGAGTCATGTATGTACGATATCTGCCGGACAAATCACGGTCAGACTACATGCCCTGGCAGCATCAGTTTTACACTGACGACAGAAAGGTAATACAACTTGGTTCACATCAGGAATCCCATGTAAGAATTGATTGTCCTTTGAAGACAAAAAATATTGTGGAGATTTCAAAAGAAAATGACGATTTTCAATCTCGAACCCGGTATAGAATTTACAGTGATGACCTTATTCACTCTTTTAGGCAGCAGAAAGAGGAGCACAGCAGCAAGGTTACACTGTAAAATGGGACGATAACGGTGATATGTACCTGTCTTACAGCGCACCGGCCTTTCTTTCTCATCCAGTAACAGGAGAAAAAATCTGGTTCAACCAAATAACAACTCACCACTGCACTTACTCGAAAGCACTGCCACAGTACAAAGGTTCTGATCTCCCGGATGAGAAATATCCCCATCACACCTATTATGGAGACGGAAGTGACATCGAGCCGGAAGTGTTACAACACATCAGAGCAGTTTCATGGTCATGCGCAACTGGATTTCGGTGGAAGAAGGGTGATTTAATAGCGCTTAATAATCTGAACGTTCAGCATGGACGAATGGCCTTCACGGGAGAGAGAAAAATACTGGTGCATATGACGACAGACTAAACCCGAACCTGAATTTGTATTTTAAAGCTAAGAAAAGTAATTTTCGCATATTATTATGTAACATTTTTGTTATGATGTAGTTAGATTATCTTGACATCCTAGAATCTAGAGGGAAAGTTTGATAGCCACGAAATTTCTTCCTTCTGAAATTTGTCGCAGAAAACAGTTTTATTGTGTCTTTGCTTTGGGCGCAATAATTATAAAGATCCGCCCAGCGTAAACTTTGCAAACACATTGTGTCTTTTTGACTTGCAAATGTTTCTCAGCTATTAACCTCAAGTGCTCTGAAACAGGTTATATATTAATAAGGCGCCCAGCCGTCTGAAGACACGTACAGTGGTCTGCTTTGCTGCTTTTATTTCAAACAGAGCAGTTACATCAAGGTACTTGTTTTGACGTGGAAGCGGAAGAACTTTATTTTCATCAGTAACAAATTCTCAGTCATGCAATGCAGCGGAAATAAGTGGTGCGAGATATATAATAGCGTGCTTTTCCATACTATTCTTCCGATGTAATTGTCGGAGACTGCGTGATTACTTGCGTGAAGTTAATTTTGTCAACAACATTATCATGGAGTTTCTAATTTGTACATGATTGACGTAACCTCGAATAACCTTTTTCATAGTGCTTAGCAACGATCAATCACAATGTAGAGAATGTAGTATAAGAATTAGGATCTCGTTTCAAGTTGCCTGAGTAGCTCTTTACACGCCTGCTGTAACCGAGTGAATACGCGAGAACGATTAAACAGTTAAACTCAGTCGAGTCTGTTAATTGAGTCCTGTAAGTTAGAAGACCGGTTATCCCTAGTAAACGGGGCAAGGTTTACGAAATAATCAACGATCGCCACTGTCTGCCTTGCTATAACTGAATAGAACTAAAATATCTTTAACTACTAGAAATTCCAGTTTTCCTTAAAACGTTCTCACCGTCAGAGGTCATTTATAGGTAATATCACTACACAAAAAGTTAAAAGGATAGAGTAAATTGCCAGCTTGGCTCAAGTCATTTTTTTTGCTACTATTTGTCGCTCTGTGTCAAAGATTGTTTTAACTTTGATCACGAAAATGTTACATAATGGATCTTAATCATTCAATTTGCATTTGTGGACAAAAAGTTTTGCCATGAATATCAGTTGATTAATATAACATTTGCATCGGATGTAACTAAAAGCAAAAATGAGGAATTGGGAATGGGGAAATAAAATTGGAAATTGAAAGTGGGAAATTACTTTTTTGGAGATTTAATGTTTGAAATGCAGAATAGATATCTATCAGCGTTGATAATCGATAAACAAGCTTTCTTTCAAAAACGTTCAGAGGCAAAATTTAAGGGACGGAATAATTAATGATAACGAAAGAAATGATACGAGACAGCTAAAGAATGTTTTAAAACTAAATTTCATTTGTTTCAGTAATAAGTGATGTGTCAAATTAAATCTATTGAGAAGAATGAAAGAGCTATTTTAATGTTTATATGACAAGTAATAAATTGGAACTTTCAAAGAGGTTAGCCATTGAGGGCTTGAATTTTTCAGATTCCAAATGCAAGTAACTTCTCAACACCAAGCGACATAAGGAACCCACAGTTGAATATCCATTTTAAAATAGTGATCGTTTTATTTTTCGGAAGTAATAGATGTATGCTTCACAGAGAAATTCCGATAAGCAAAAGCACTTGCCTCACTTTCCAAATTAGCGGCTGCAGCAAAACTGAAACCATCTCAAAGAACAATTTTGCTTTCACGACTATAGGACGCGCCAAGTAGATAATGAATCTTACAGGTTTCAAACAGTAATTTGCATGAATATTGGTGGCAAGCGTGAGGCCAACTCCTGAACTTCCGGGGGTTTCCCGCAGACACGAGTAATTTCGTCCTTGAAATGTGATCAACAGGTATATTTTCGTGCCAAATAGAGGCTACTGTGTTTATTATCCTACAAATATATTTTTAACTTACGGGGAAAAAAGTGTTTACGAACTATTGGCAACCACAAAGTTATCTTAAATTTAAACTCAAGTTTTAAACGAAGACTTATCGTAATGGACGAAGAGCTTGAAAGTTAGGGAATATTACTTGAGGTATATCCTCGTGCACGCCCCAGTTTCAGGTGGAGGATAGTTGGTCAAATGAAGCGTTTAGACCAATCACACGCGACGAAAAATATTTGATGAATTATAACCAAAATTATTCCCTTCTCATAAACAGTAAATCTACCAAAAAAGTGAATTTACCGTTTTCAAGAGGGGGGGGGGAGGGGTCGGGGGAAGGAGGGTGCGGCTTCACGTAGGCTACAACCTGTGCGATTGTGAGAGAGCTGGTCACGCAATGACATCATGACCACCTCTGGGTCTGTATAATAGGAGAGTCCCAGAGAGACAGTAATGCAATGACTTAACGGCTACCTTTGCGCTGTTTTAATAGGAGAATCTCACACAATCAGTAAAGTAATGACTTAACGGCTACATTTGCGTCGCCATAATAGAAGATTCTGAGATAGCCAAGAACACAACGACTTAACGGCTACTTTTGAACCAATAAATATCATTTTCATCGAACAAATCATGTCAACGTTTGTCTTAACATCGGCTGGAGGCAGTCAACTCGTCTCAGCCATCTCAGTCCGATAAAACTGGCCACTTCCTATTTCTTGTCTACTAAAACAAGTTCAGTAACAGGCAGAATTTTTGAGCGAATTCCTAAAGCGGAGCTGGCACCGAAAACCAGACCACGGCTGCGAGACAGGGAGTTTCTCCCAGGCTGAACGGGTGAAGGATTCCCAGAGTTCTTGGCGGAGCCAAGTGACTCTTTCCCGCACGGAGTGCGCGTCAAAACTAGAGACCAGTCCTCTCTCTCAGAAATGGGTGCAAATTGCATGGAGTACATAAAGAAGAATCTTACTAATAGGCGGGCGATATTGTTCCGCGGAATTCCAGCTGAAACAGCACAGGACTTCTTGGGCTTAACCCAAGGAATGCGAGGCAAGCCTCTGAGCTACGAGGGTGGTGCTGGATCCAGACCCAAGGAACTGAAAAATTCTGACATCTACTTTGCCAGTGCTGAACCTGGAGCGTACACCATCGAGTTGCACAATGAAATGGCGTATCTCAAGGCTTTCCCCAAGAAGGTATTTTTAGACTAAAACACAGACTAATAATGCTGAGACACCAGGGTATTTCTGGGCGCTACTACCCCACTCAGTCACCAGGTTTATGATGCGCTATCACTAATTCAGTAGTTCTTTCGCTCATCCATATATTCATTCATTCGTGGATAAGTTTACTCGTACTTTGGTTTATTTGCTCCCTTAATCAGTTCGTTCTCCCATCTGTTCAATCATTTACCCATTCATTCGTTTGTTCGTTCTCTTTTTCATTTATTTACATGTTCTCTTGTTCACCCGTTCATTTGCTAATCCTCTCATTTACCCTTTCGATTATTACTTCATTAATCAATTGGTTCTTTGCTTCATTGCTTCACAGGTTCATTGGTCATTCATGGTTTGTTCATTAATACGATTATTTTTTTTATTTGTCCACTCGTTGATTCGTCCATTCTTTTATCCGTCTATTAATTTTTCCCATGGATTCATTCATCCTCCACAGATTTTCTTTTTTTGCCCAAAAGAGCCTGGCGAGAGTTGTGGTGGCGAGACTCCTTTGGCTAGATGCAGCGACATTGTATCCAAACTTGATTCCGAAGTCGTAAAAAAGTTCGAGGTAAAGGAGTCATGTATGTACGACATCTGCCGGACAAATCACGATCAGACTACATGCCCTGGCAGCATCAGTTTTACACTGACGACAGAAAGGTAATACAACTTGGTTCACATCAGGAATCCCATGTAAGAATTGATTGTACTTTAAAGGCCAAAAACAAAATTGTGGAGATTTTAAAAAAAATGACGATTTTCAGTCTCCGGTTATTGAATTTACACTAATGACCTTATTTACTCTTTTAGGCAGCAGAAATAAGAGCACAGCAGCGAGGTAACACTGTAAGATGGGACGATAACGGTGATATGTACTTGACTTACACCGCGCCGGCCTTTCTTTCTCACCCAGTAACAGGAGAAAAAATCTGGTTCAACCAAGCAACAAGTTACCACTGTACTTACTTGAAAGCACTGCCACGGTACAAAGGTTCTGATCTTCCGGATGAGAAATATCCCCATCACACCTATTATGGAGACGGAAGTGACATCGAACCGGAAGTGTTACAACACATCAGAGCAGTTTCATGGTCATGCGCAACTGGGTTTCGGTGGAAGAAGGGTGATTTAATAGTGCTTGATAATCTTAACGTTCAGCATGGACGAATGGCCTTCACGGGAGAGAGAAAATTACTGGTACATATGACGGCAGACTGAACCTACCCTTCACCTTGAGTTTTAGTTTGAAGAGGGATTATAATTAATGATCAAGTAAAAGTTGTCAGTTTTTTAGTTTTTCGACTAAGTTAGCGTACAGGAAACCCAAGTTCATGACACTGAACGAACCCGAACGTGACACATAGCGGCAATGGGGGAATGATTTTTACGGCTAACGGTTAGGATTTTGGCCATTTTACAGCTAACGGTTAACCCAAATGACACATTGTAGAAAGAGAAAATTTTTACAGTTATTTTTTTTTTACGACTTACGATCAAAATTTGTCAATTTTTACGCCTTACGATTAAATTTTTTAGCTGTTTTACGGCTAACAGTTAAACCATTGAGACCATCTTAGCGCTCTAGCGCATAATAATTTTACTTAGCTTATTTTTGATCGATCAGTTATGCCGATAAAACAAAAGACTTCGGTGAGTTTTGCGTTTTAAAACAAATTTACATACCAGATTGTGTCCATAGCGTTTCCCACAGTTAATGACTTGTAACGAGTTGATATACATTCAGAGGCGGAAATAGAAGAATGGCAGAAATAGCTCGAAAGTCAGTTTTCTTCGCACCTATTAGTCATAAATTATTATAAATAATAATGACATGATCAACAACTTAAGAAGCTCTTGATTGTTAAACAAATTCTCCTTTTTATAACCTTAAGAATTGTATAGGAAAAGTATGGAGCATATGCATACTGATGTTAGGGTGTAAAGGCTAAAGCTGAATTATAAACGCATTTTGATTGGTTCTTACTTATGATCTATATGAGGACCGACAAATAGATGACGTCACCATTCATAATTTTTTGCTTTTTTATTACATAAAAGAAATAGATTCCATGTTTCTATTGGTCCGTTTAATAATACATCACAGATGACGTCAAAATGTGGTGAGAAAATCAGTGACAGTTTTTGGTCTTAGCACATTTTGACGTCATCCGTAATCTATTCCTGAACAGAATCAAAGGAATGGTATTCCATCATGGATGTCACGCGGAAAACGTTACGTGACATGCTAAAGAACGACTGCAAAGGAGAACCTCTGTGAAACACGCAACGTCTGAAAATCAGTTCATGTTTGAAAAACCTCTTAGTTTATCCAAATGATCATATCTCGTTTTAACCTCGTGATTTATCAATCATAAAAGTTAACACTGCTCGTGACCACGCGCACGTATATTCAGGTAGAATCAAACATGTGACGTCAGTTGACTTATTTTACCGGCGTCTTTCACAAGCGATAAGAGAGCTTTTCAACATAAGCTTGAAATTTTACGGGTCAAAACCCACGTTGAAACGTTTTTCAAGGAGAAACTAAAGGAGAGTAAACATTACATAAACGCTACTTTAACCCAATCGTGAGCGCTATCACGTTTATCCACGATTTTTTTCTCGTACACGTGATTTCAGTGGACATGCTGGACACTTCTTCAGAAAGCTCGTAACAGAAGCAGCTTCAAAGTTCACGGGAAACACACCTTAAAACTTCTGTCAAAGGAGAGTTTAAAGACGACCGGCATTAATTTTCTGGTAGGTAAGCCGTGTCTATACTTTCAGCTCATTCGCAATGGAACAAGTTTCACTTTCGACTCGGCTTATCATGGAGGTCTTCAAAAAGCTGTTTTCATCTGTTTACTCAATTGCGCTCCGACTAAAATTCTTTAGCTGCTTATGAACAACAAGACAAAAAACTTACGCCTTGATTTGATGAAAATTTTGTATTTTAAAGCTAACAAAAGTAATTTTCGCATATTATTATGTAACATTTTTGTTATGATGTACTTAGCTTCTCTTGAATCCAGACATCAAAGAATCTAGGGGGAAAATTTGAAAGCGACGATATTTTTTCTCTCTGAAATTTGTCGCAGAAAACAGCTTTATTTTGTTTTGCTAGATGGACACAATAATTATAAAGATCCGCCTAGGGTAAACTTTGCAAACACATTGTGTCTATTTGACTTGCAAATGTTTCTCAGCTGTCAAACTCAATGCAAGTGTTCTGAAACAGGTTGTATATTTATGAGACGCCCAGTCGTCTGAAGACATGTACGGTGGCCTGCTTTTCTGCTTCTATTTCAAACAGAGCAGTTACATTCAGGTACTTGTATTGACGTGGAAACGGAAGAACTTTAATTTCATTCGATCACTTTAAACACCTAATCAGTAACAAATTTTCAGTCACGCAATGCAACGGAAATAAGTGGTGCGAGAAATATAATAGCTTGCTTTTCCACAATATTCTTTCGATGTAATTAACGATCGCCATTGTCTGACTTGCTCTAACAGAATAGAACTAAAATATCTTTAACTACTAGAAATTCCAGTTTTCTTTAAAATTTTCTCACCTTCAGAAGTAATTTATAGGTTATATCACCACACAAAAAGTTATAAGGAATAACTAGAGTAAATTGCCAGCTAGTGCTTTTGTTGATAAAACACAGAATTATCTGGGCAAAGTTATAGAGCAGCTGGTAGGAATCTTTAAAGGGATGTAGGACTCTGCTGTTCATCTCTCTGGGATATTCCTGATTGTTTTCTAACAGCACAATATTGTTTGAATGTGTTGTGTTGTTGATTGGGACAGAGTGAGGTGGTGACTTCTTTGAGATTTTCCTTCCCTCTTCTGTTTTGACTTTTTATAGTCTAAAATCAGTATGCATATTCTCCATACTGTTCTCTTCACATTTCCTCAGGTATTTAACATCAAGAGATTTGGTGATCATTTCCTTTATTCTTGTGACCTTCTGTTGTTTGCTTCAGGGGTGATATTGTGAGGAGAAATTAGGTGCTGGTCACTCTAAGGGCTTAAGAGGTTAATTATCTGTACCTGCATTACTCCTCTTTGGAATAAATGCATTGGCAGGGTGAAATTTTCATGAAAAAAGTTTCTTCTGGCTTCATCTCTGAGAGTTAAGTGTCTCAGATCCTCACACTGTGCCTCTCTCCAGCTGGGAGTATAAAACGGTGTCAGAAAACTTTTAAGCAAACTACAAACCCCATCACAATTGTTGAAAAATTTTCCCCTTCCCTTCTTGTTAACCTTGGTAACAGGAAAGAGGAAGTGATGTGTCAGTAAAACACAATGAAGGTTTGGGAGAATTGCAGGGAAATCTGTGGTGACATGCATCAGTCTAGAAGGAGAAATGATTCATGTCTGAAATTGCAGAGTTAAGCTTCAGTAATAAGTCGGTAATTAGGTCTTAATAGACTTAACTCTTTACTACAGCTATGTAAAATCCCTTTCTTGATAGATCTTATTCAGGATGAAATATGTTCCTTCACAGGAAGCATTATTAACCTTCTGAGCTGCTTAAGTACTCAGTACTTCTCTGTACATTATTACTGCATTGTTTAGCAGACGGATGACAAGTTAGAAGCAATGGGGTGTTTTATAATGGTAATTGAACTGAGTAGAGTGCAATTTGGGCTGAAATCATACGCATGATTTCAAAATTGAACAAGCATGCAGCACAAGTTCAATTTGAAATCACAAGTATGATTTCAGACCAAAATTGCATGACATGAGGTTCAATTACCACTTTATTACATCCATTTTGAAATCACCCAAATACAGGACTTGGTCAGTTCAAATATTTTATTAATACAATACTGAGCCGGTTTGAAATTAAATTCATCCATTTTTTGGAGGAAAAAATAAGAGTTTTGGAAACAAAAGTTACAAAATTTGCCACATGATACTCCATGTCTTTCATCTTCCTGCAATTTGATTGGTTACTTTAAACAAGCCTTGAAGTCTGATTGATTGTTTTGTTTTTAATGTCGCCTCCTCATTAGCTGGGGAAAAGATGCAAGTTAAAGCAAAAAATGGTGCAATTTGTGAATAAATCACACCAATTAAAGCTAATCAGATTACAGGGACCACCAGTGATTTCAAAATGGGTGTAATAAAGTGAAATAAATTCCTAATATTGAAATAACAGGAAATATTTAGATGCTAGGATGATTCTGAGGATTGAAAGGTTTGCAAAATGAATATAATCTTTGAAATATCATTTTCATGTTGTTTACAGTATGTTGAAAGACTCTGAAGAATCTTTTCAAATCAAACAAGCAGATAAACAAGTATTTAAGATTCGCTCAATTACATGTATTATCACAACATGCAGACCTTTTAGGATTATAAACAAGTAACAATTTATGAAATCTTTATTTGACTTACAAAAATGATCAGCCCATACAAAGTAAATTAGGCTTGAGTAAACCCACTAGTAGCTGATCTAAATAAATATGCTAAAAGACACAAGATATTTAATACACTAAATTGGTTATAAAATCCCTGATGTTTGCCTGAAATTTAGAGCCTGAGTACCAGAACAGATCTAGAGGAAGAGTACAGGGGGTGCACACTCCCCCCCCCCTCCAAAATGACCTGCAGGTTTCTAATATAACTAGCACTCTGCAAAAAATGGAATCATGTGGTTTATTGGTGTTGAGGTAAAACATGAGATGAGGTTAAAGAATTTATTTTAATTGTCATGAAATTATAGTTTGAGTTTGGCACTGTAGTTTCTTCTTCATTGCTTGCCTTTAAATTTTTTTGTGCCACCCGTCAGTGATGACATAACTTAGTGGTGCACTCCCCTTTAGAAAAATCCTGAATCTATCCCATTATAATTCACTTGAGTAGAAAAGACATGGAGACTCAAAGCCCTCGGCCAGGCCTGAGATGTGATCACCCCTTTTTTCTTCCAACAGCTAAGGACTATCAGAGGTGATTCTAACTTGTGATTGCCATGGCCACTGTACGAGAGAAATTGTTGACGGCAGTCTATGAAGAGGAGCATACAGCCCCAAGTAAAGTGACAATTGTTGGTGTTGGACAAGTAGGGATGGCATGTGCTTACAGCATAATGCAGCAGGTTGGACTTTACATTTTAAAGTATACATCCATTAATCAAATATCATCCCTACTTCTTAATTAGCCCTTTCTTTGTCTTTTCATTTTTTTCCTTTTCTTTCCCCCTGCAGGTCAAACTTATCTAACCTTTTTATTCCCATCGGTGAATAATATCACCCTAGGTGATATCTTGATGTAAGACCAAATTCTCTTGTTCTATTTACAAGGAAATGTGTGGCAATCAGTAGGAAGAGTTATTGACTAAATCTTTAGAGGGTAATGGGAATGAATGGTTAAATGAGGAGGGACATACTGAAAATGTTTGTAAATGCACTGCTCCACTAGGTTGTTCATGATATATAGCATATGTCATTTTCATCACTGATCAGGGTATTTGCCGTGAACTGGCCTTGGTTGACATGATTGAGGATAAGCTGAAAGGGGAGATGTTGGACTTGCAGCATTGTCAGCGGTTTGTCAAGAACGTCAGCATTCGTGCAAGCACTGGTATAAATTATTTTTCTCTTGTTCTTTGTGGTCTGATTAAGGACCACTTTCATGTTTGATGCCAGCATGTGTTTTATTAGCCAGCATCTCAGCCCCATCTCCTTTCCACTCAGATTATGCTGTTACCGCAAACTCCAACTTGTGCATTGTGACTGCGGGTTCACGTCAGAAAGAGGGTGAAAGCAGAAGGGATCTGGTACAGAGAAATGTCAACATCTTCAAAGGTAAATAATGGTATGTCTTTGGCTGGAGTCTTTCTGCAGAATGATTCATGGAATAAAAGCAACCACTTGACAATAACATTGTGGATGCTCATGCAGTTTTTAATGCATTTTCTACTTTTCAGCAATCATTCCACAGCTGGTGAAACACAGCCCAAACACCATTCTGATGATTGTCTCAAACCCAGGTAAACAATCCAACAATATTTAACAATTACATAATAAGATGAATTCTACACCCATTTTGATTGGCTCTAATGTACGATCTATCTGAGGACAGACGCATAGATGACGTGACCATTAACGACATTTTGCTTTTTTATCATACAAAACAAACTGATTCTTTGTTTTGATACATCTGTTCAGTAAAAGATCACAGCTGTGACAAGAACAAAAAAACTGTGGTAAGATCAAAATGGGGGGCACGCGAGGCGCAGCCGAGTATGTTACTGATGGGAGTGAAGTGTCTTGCGCATGCCCAAGAATACAATACAATGACCCGACTTCGGCTCAAACCCAGACCTCTCGACATTGAGTCCAGCACGTCTCCTTTCGAGCGTCAGCTACGTGTACAATGTATTGTTAGTAAACATGGAAATGAATTTTTCATTATTATCTTACAAATTCCATTATTATCTTACAAATTCCATTATTATCTTAGTGGACATTTTAACTTATGTGGCATGGAAAATCAGCGGACTTCCCCATGAGCGAGTGATTGGAAGCGGAACGAACCTGGACACGGCCCGGTTTCATTTTCTTATCAGTGAAAAACTTAACATCGCGCCAAACAATGTGCATGGATGGATCATTGGGGAGCATGGCGATGCTAGTGGTACGTTATCAATACTCCTTTCTTAGCTCTTCATTGGTAAGGGCCACTGATCATAATCATAGGGGGTATGTACATTTTAGTTCAAATGGTAAAACACACCAGGTGACAGCTGACCTCTGATATAAGCTGCTCCGTTTGTGCTTCTTCCAAAAGCAAGTCGCTGCGACTCAGTAGTACTTTCGAATAAAAACCAGCCACAGTTTGAATAACTTGTTTCGACGGCAAAGTTCTGTCGTAGAACTTAAGTCGTCTCAAAAAATTTCCATGTGGGGTTGGTTTCCGCTCTTCTGTGGAGTCCAGTCTTTGCTCCTCTCGCACTAACATGGGCCTTTTCCCAAACAGCGGGAAGTTACTAAGCCAATTGTAGCTGCGACCCGTTGCCTAGTGACTAAATCTCAACCAATGAGCGCTCGTTTTTTTTTTTACCCTCATAGTGAATCTCCCATATTACTTCGGGTGAAACAAGCTCTCCCTTACTGTTTTGCAAACTTAAAATTTTTGGGCTCATTCGTCAAATGGTTGCTGTTCTATGTATTTCCTCGTTTCTCAGTGCCTGTTTGGAGTGGTGTGAATATTGCTGGAGTTAATCTCAAGGATCTCCACCCAGACATCGGGTCTGATGGCGACCCGGAAAAATGGAATGAAGTACACCAGAAGGTTGTGAACAGGTAACTTTTTTTGAATTGTGCATCGTATTTTGAACACTGCGTGATCTGACGTTTAACGGGACAGGTCTGACTTCCTGCGTTTCAAATTTCCCAGTGCAATGGCTTTGGGTAAAGAGGAGGGGGGGGGGGGGTGGGGAAGAAATCGCCCGTGCCCGAGTTAAATCAGTTCACCTTCCAGTCCACGAAGGAATTAGTAACCTTAGCTCTTTGACGATTTTCGACCTTGTATGTGTACTTGCGTTGATCTGTCGTGTTTTCCTATTATTTGTCCATTTTTACTTGGATACGTTATCCTAGAACAAGGTCTTCTTGATGCATATCATTATTATTCGAGGGAGAAAAGGTGTTTGTTTTTGCGAGGTGTTTAATGTTAGGGGCTCACTACATCGAGATTTAACGAGTTCAGATCTTGAAATCATTGTCAGTAGTAACCTATTAAGCTTTGACTTTTCCAATGGTGTAAGATTGCACGCGTAAACTTGCAGGTTTGCAGAAAAGCGCCACAGCTACTGAAATTCTACTATAAGATTTGAGAGAATCTCTTAGAGGGCAGCGAAACGCAATATATTGTTCTTTCTCCTGTTCAATTTAGCGAGACCTTGACTCCGTCAGTGATAGTGTTCTTACTTCTCCATTTAGTGCCTACGAGGTGATCAAACTGAAAGGTTACACATCCTGGGCCATCGGTTTGAGTGTCGCCACCATGAGTCAAGCGTTGCTAAGGAACCAGAAGAACGTACATGCTATTTCAACCCTTGCTAAGGTGAGGTTTAACACGTTACAAGGAAGAGTATAGATGGGACGTTAAGAATAAGGGGCTGAAATGGAAACCAGGTGGTAAGTCTGTACTTTATCCAAGTGGCCCATCCAGCCGGAGCTTAACCCGGTTTCCACAGCATGAAGCGACTAAGATCATTACTACTCCACCCCCCCCCCCTCACCCCCACCCCCACTGGGTGGGATGCCAGACCATCGCAAGGTTACCCCAAGCTTCCCTGACAATTTGCCGGTTCCCCTTTTTTTCTCCTGGGAGGAGACAGGCACTCTGAAAGTAAAGTGTTTAGCCATGCGAGAAATGTGCGCTGTGAGATAAGTCCTCTTGATTGGAAATTTGCTCTAGAAATCGACTCAAGTCCCATTCAATGCTTTTTCAATTCAGGGTTTTCATGGAATCGAAGAAGAGGTGTTTCTCAGCCTTCCTTGCGTGCTCGGCTCCCATGGCATCATGTACGTCATCAAGCAGACTTTGGACGAAAACGAGGCAAAGAAACTTCAGACCTGCGCGCGCACGATGAACGAGATTCAACAGAGTCTTGAGTTCTGAGTATATAGTGGTTGTCGCTGTAAAAGCACAGCTGTAAGTTATATTAAAAAGATGAGCTGTTTGTAAGTTATTATTTTCTAGCTATGTATGGAATCATTGGGCTCTCGCTGTCGCTCCAGACTACCAGCAGTCACTCCTTTTCTGAGTCCTTCGCGCGTGTTAAAAAAATTCAGTGAAGAAAACAAGTGATGTGAGAGCGCCGCGCGGAACTCTGTTCGTGCGCCTCATTCCTGAAGTTCCAATTTTATTTTTTCACTGATTTTTTTTTCGGGACTCACGCGGCAGACTTTGCCGAAAAGCAGGGACTGATCCACTAGTAGTTTACTCTTGACCCGTTTTACGTTGCAGTTGTTTTTTCGCTTCTCCCAGGGTGGACAGTGAGAAAAAGGAATTGCTCTCATTGTAACCTTGAATTAAGGAAAACATTTGCTTGAGATGCTCAGATGGCTGACTGTAGACAAATTACTGTAACTAAAAATTTGAATAAAGCAGCTTAAACTGGACAACGAAACAAAACTTCTTTTTATTTAGAGAAATATATATACAAAAAAACTACGCTGAGTAATATAAAAACAGCTCCTGTCGCATAAAAAATAAATAATCATCAAATCTCAAATGAATGCCACGAACGAATTACTGTCTTTCAAATTTACAAAAGTATAAAAATATGCAGCTGTAGTTCCGAACAATCAAATCGATAACTACCATTGAATAGCATTTAGCGAGTTGTTTGCAACACAGAAAGAACAACTTTAAACTGTGTGTATTTTCTGACATAATTATCTCCAAACAAGAATTCATCGAAGGATCGCGCTTTCCTTTGCCAATCGTCCAAGGATTTCACGTTTAACTTATTTCGTTTAAGATGGCAAACTGATTTTCAACGTCGGCAATTTCAACTAGAACAAACGAACTTCATAACAAAAACGACAGCTATTCTCTTATATTTCTGCTGTCGGCTCTTGCGTTCCTCATGGTTCAGATAATTTCCGTTTCACTATCGCTCGCTACCTTTGTCTTTCGTTCAAACCGCCCTCTTCAGCAGGTGACAAAGTGCAAACGCATTGCAGACCTATGTTGTGACAATATGTTCGTCCTTCACCACTTCGACCCCGTTTAGCTCATCCGGCTCCATTTCTGATCGGTGGTGCCCAGGCCCTTCTTGACTCGGATTTTCAAGAAAGTTATGAACAAAGTTCTGGATCTCCCCTCTAGCTTCTGTCATGGGAAAAAGATCACGGAGTTAAATGCACCAATCACAAGCGCTGTACATACAAATACAAGAAGACATGTTCGCTGTAAACATTGGTGATAAAACTTTTCCAAAGACAATTGTTAACCCATCACACCCTAACATCAGTATGCATATTCTCCATACTGTTCTCTTTACATTTCCTATGGTACTGACAAGGAATTTTTTCAACATCCGCAGATTCTTCGGTTTTCTATAATTCTGTAATGTTTGATTTATGAGAAGAAATCCACAGAAAAACTAGATGCTTATCACTCTCAGAGGTCAGAATTAAGAACAAAACCTACTAAAAGATTTAATTCCCCGAGCCACAAACGATTTCCTCGACAAGGGTTCTTTATGCCATCTACAACAGAAAATTTAAACTTGCACGAGTCATTACTTTACGTGATTAATGTTTTCACGTTAATAACCTGGCATGGGAGCTTTTGAACTTATCATCTTGCTTCATCTAAGTTAAATCTTTTTGAAAGGAAACCTTTCTGATGATATCAAATGAAGAGAAATACAAACGCTCCACTAAAAAAAAAAAAAAAAAGAAAAAAAGAATAGCGCGTCTCACGCACCTATCTTACCTTTAAGCTTCCTCTCAGCTTCAATCTTGGCGCAGCGTTCTTTTTCCAGCTCTTGGAGTAACTCATCTACAAAAGGCGACAAGAAGGAAAGCATAAGTCACTCAAAGAAAACTGCAGAAGTCAACCAGATATGTTAATTTCAAGAAATGGGTGTTGAAGGGTCGTTGAAACAGAGTCTTAAAGCCTCCTTGGTAATTCACTCCACCCCAATCCCCCTCTTCTCCTCATACATGGGACACGACCCCATGAACACCTACCCCTGTCAGCACGAAAAAGGTTTTTTCATTTCGCCGGCACTTTAATATATCAGGATATACCAATACAGGTATGTGATCATCTTTCTTAATCAATAGCCCCCCTTCCTTCCCCCTCCCCTCCCTCTCCTTCTTCTCTTCTCCCCCCCCCCCTTCTATCTCCCTCCTCCCTCCCCCTCTCCTAACTCAAGGAATTCCACATTGTAACTCGCATGTATTGTTAGTTAAATCACGTTGGTGGTATTTTCCTTCTTTAAACATTCTACTAGGCAGTTAGGTGAACTTCTTTCATAAACTGTCTATACATAGCTTGCTCACCGTTTCGCTGTTTAAGAGCATCTTGGGTCGTTTGTCTCAGCTGTTCTTCAAGCAGCTCACATCGTTGTTGTTCCTCTGACGAATTCGAAAGAAAAGAATCAAACTCAACGTTCTACCAGTACTCTGCTACACTTAAACACCCTAAACATCGGTTTGCAAAATCTCCATTCTGTTCTCTATACTTTTCCCAGGGTACTTACAGGGAGAATCAGCTTCTTTAGTGATCTCATGATCATTTCTTTTATTCTCATGACCTTAAGGTTTGATTTAGGAGTGATAGTGTTGGGAGAAATAAGATGCATATCAATCTTAAGGTTTAAGAGATGTGAGATAATATGGCTACTATTTGATTTCTAGTCGAAAATTATACTCTTCCATAGAGGAAGACGAAGACTGAACAAGGAATATTAACTTTTCCTGTCACACTACAAAGTTCTTTCGCTATTAAGCAAACTACCCAGGGCTTAACAATCCGCACCAATTCAAAAGAGAAAGTGAACGTCTAATTTCCAGTGGCTTACTACTGAAGATACTTAGAACTTCTACGACTATATTGCAGGAAATAATTGATCGCTTAAAATAGTCGCTGATATGAAGAATTTGAAAGGACTGCCCAGAACTTACCAAGGAGTTGTTCAGCCAGCTTACGCCGCGCTCTCTTTTCTTTCTTGAGTTTCTTTTGAAGAAAAGCTGAAGAAAAAAACCGAAAAAATATGAGTGGTAAAGCTATAATCAGCAACACAAGTCTTAAGCAATTCAGTAGTCTACTTCATTAATTCACGCTTTTCTTTTCGTGCTTATTTTCAAACTGAAACGCAGACATACTAGCTGTGCCTAACAGACCGAGTTTCAAAACAGCCGGTGGCAATGACATGCGCAATCATGCTTACAGAAGGGAAACTATCCGCGTTTACGCTGCTTCGTCACGGTTCAAGCGAAAAAAAAAACCGAAACGCGTACACTTGTAGGAGCAGAATCGCAAGAATTGCATGCATACTTAAAGTTCCCAAAAGAGTTCATATCCTAGTAAATAGCTCCTGTGACGTCGAGTTTAAATAATGAAACATATATAATAATAAAGCCCGATAGAGCTTGCCACGTATTAATTAAACTGACTAAGTCACGGGATGCGAGAGCATAAGACTTCCTTTTTTACCGTGATCGAGCGTGCGACTCCTGGCGCTGAATTTCGCATAACGGCATGGTTAGCCTGAACTTGAAGCAAACTATAACCAGTTTAGATTAAGCGGATTTTCGTCAATTTTCGTTTGTGAATACAATTTTTCGTGTTTGATTAAAACAACCCGAATTTCACTTAAATCAATCCGTCCCGTCTTTTGAAGTAATCACATCTGCCTTCTTGCAAATCGATACACCTCACCACGACAGTTTTCTTGCCGCCACCAGTTTTCCTTGATATAATACTTAACTCTAAGAACTGATACACGAAAACTGTGAGGCAGTCAGGAAATGAAATAAACATTGACATCTTGGCAGTAGGAAGAGTCGAAGATAACGAATGAAGGCCCGAAGGGAGAATTATGTTTACCTTTTCCTCTCTGCAGAGCAGCGGATTGTCTTTCGGCTTTCTCTCGAACCTCACGCTCGCGATGAATGTATCGGCGAAGTTCATCTAAGAAGAAAGGCATAAAATAGATAAATTAGTTTAACCCTTAATTCCCGAGATCTGATTGTAAATTCTCCTCTCTAGCTGCTACATATTTCCTTGTAAATTAGTTACGAGAATTTGGTGTTAGATCGAGATATTAACTTCTACGTATTTCTCGATGACGTTACTTACTTCTTTCGTAAACAGCTTGTCTCTCGTTCTGTCTCGTATTTTCTGCAGCCACCTTCAGAAGACCCTGTATGTTCAACAGAAGACTTTCTGCAAAAGGAAGAAGGCAGTGATAATTTGAGTACTGTGCGAAAGATAAATCTTGTAGTGAAAGATTCATTTGTAGCTCTGTTAAAGTTACATCCTGAAAATCACAGCTAAAACTAACCCGTGGATCCAGGCTCCCTGAATTCAGGCTGAAGAGGAAAATTAAATCAGATTAGTGATAGAATCTAGTTAATTGTAAAATGTATAAAAATAAGTTATAGTCTCAGTAACAAACCTCTCGAGATAACACGTGTGGCGAAGAGGCTGACATTTCAGAACCCGTATCATTAACAGCGGCATTCCTGAACTCCACATGCTCAGATGTGCCAGTGCTACTGACATGAGGTACCGAGGCTTCCACGTTCATTGCCTCTCCCACACTAGGAGACCTCCCTGGGCTGTGATTGGCCACCGCTGACGCACCGTTGCTAAGTGGACCGCCATTCGTTGCTGGACTCAACACATTTCCTTGCGGACTCAAAGACGCCTGAGGACGAGGTGGAAAGTTGAACGCGCATGACTGAGAGTTTGGCGGCACGGCAACGCCATTGGGCGGGCTTATGATACGTGATGGCGGAGCGTTCGTTGGAGAATGAATTACGTGTGTGGTAGAATATCGCGGGCTCCCGTGAAGACATGGTGGCGTGAGATTGGACGGTGTCATGTTCAGAGTGCGCTCAGGCGGTCGGGAAATTGGCGTTCTGAACTGTGGGTCTTTCCTTTCAGCCCCAGTTGAATTGTTGTTGGCATCACGTGACCCTTCAATCGTCAAAGTTACACCAGCATTAGGCGACGAATCGCCCGAAATGGACTTGTTCGTATCGTCTGTCTTCATTGGTTCTCCGTTCGATATGTTGACAGGTCTTTCAGCGTGATGATCGACTTTGAAATGCTTGAACGGATTGTTTAGCAGCTCGGGAGGAATGTCGGGATTCTTTTTACGTCGCCCTGGGCCCCTGAGGCAAAAAGTAAAATAGGATAAGAAACATAACGTCACGTCCCAGTTACCCTCCCCCCCCCTCTCCGACTGAGATACCCTTCCCTTCCCTCCCCCCAAAAAAAAGGATACTCCTCCCACGGCGACCGCCCGCTTCTATGACATGTTTACCTATAGGGTTTCCACCCGTATGACAGTCAGACCGAGGAGAAAAAATGGAGAATGTCTCTTTGCTGTCTCATTGAATACTATGGAAACTATTAAGCCTGGATTACCTTTTTTCAAGTGGAAACTAATTGACGGATCATAATTTTTTGCGTTTAGGTTATGGATAGGGTAAGAGTTATTTTTATAGGGGTGACTTGTCGGCTTATTAGGAGTTAGGAATCGTCATGCATCCGATCAGTGGCTCCAAAACCCAAGTCAGACAGAACTGAAAGAGTAGAGTTATTTTCAGGAACAACTGTGCAGTAGTCTGAGCTCAAAAACAAGGTTAAACGTCAATTTCTTCTCTTTTTTTGCAGAGAATTCACACTCCGTCTGAGGAGAAATTCTAACTTTTCTTTACTATAAAACTGTTTTCAAACCTCGATAATAGAGCAAAGGATGGCGTAAGGTTTGAAAATGTCCTTGGGTAACACCTTACATTGAAACTTTCACCTGCGAAAGATTTGTTTTGAGTAAAAGTTTCAAAATTGTCTTTTTGAATAGTTCACATGTTGTCCAAATATTCCAGCAGCGTTCACCTTTCCAATTGCTTATCGATTCACGACTGTCATCATGAGAAGCAATATCAATGCACACTTGTACAAATATTATTTTTCGTCTTACTTGACTGCTTGGAATCATCTTCTTTCGTCCCTGATTAAACAAATATGTTCACCGCCTTAATTTGGGTAAAAATGCCAACATCTTACAGAATATTTACAATTCAACCGTTGGACGCGACATTTTACAGAGAAGTTTTTAAAGATCGGAAATGCAAAAACAAACTACAAAACCTCCATTAAGATCACCTATGTTCAAGCTGCAATATTTGCATTACATTCCTAATGTTTAAAGCTCATATTTCGGCCTCTTTGAAAAAATTCCATGTAGAGTATTTTAGCATTAAAGCGTTTTGGAGATATAGGTTTTTTAAGTTGTTATTCACAAGTACCGATTCCGTTGCTAACCAGATCACAAATAAGTATCTGAAATATTTCCCTCCTGTCTTGTTCAATATTTTTGGCACATTTTCCTTCTTACTACGTAGAATCAAAAACATTTTCTCTCTAAGTAACAAATATAATGCAAGGGGAAAGCACCCGGGTAATCATCATGTTTAAGTCCCTTTTAAATGACATGTTCATTCTTATTGCCTGAATTTTTTTATCTATCTTCTGCATGTATTTCTGGGCGAACTTCAATTAGCTTGCACCAGTATTTGAATAACGGTAAGAATCACTTCACCGGCTTCCAACCTCTTTTTTAACTCTCAGTCCAACCACACTAAAAAGTGCTAGCCACAAGGAAGCTGCAGTGAAAGATATCATAAAATTACATATTGTACTTTATTCATGACATGCGATTGTTTCTTTAGCCGAATTTCTTTTTATCCTGTGGCGAACACACACGCCGAATCACACGACTGGACAGAAGATAAGCATTGAAAAGTCTGTTATTGTTAAATCAAGCTTTCCGGAGCAAATTCGTTTTAGGTTTAATAAAGAAAAAACAATTGTACTTTCAAATGAGAATCTAAGGAGCCCAATATCACACGAAAAAGAAAAAAAAAAAGAATGTACTCGTACGACCAAAGCGCATAAAGTGCTCGAACACTTTCATAGTCAAGGCGCACAAATTTACACCTTGAGATTCTAAATAAAGTCAAAACTACACTGAATTCACTTCCGTGAGGTTTGTATCATTTCGTACTAGATTTGCGAGTAATTAACTCTTCACATTATTTAAAAGTGTTCAACTCCATTTCCTTTTTCTCATCACTGGAAATTTCACGCTGAAGCTATCTACTTTAATCTTCTCGTTTTAAATAGAGCTTGAGATGTCATTAAACTGATCTGTTTTATCAGCGGGCAAGTACAAAGTGGATTTGCACATCAGCATTTCCGTCTTTCGTATCGAAATCAAATTAATCCACAATTTGTACCTAAACTTCACGCAAAATCCTTCAAAAAGAAAGAAATTTAGAAATTAGAAAGCGATATTCTGGAGGGGAAAAATGGAGTCTTGCAAATGCCATTTGCGATCTCCATTTCTGAGCATGTTCTTAAAGAAACACCACAAGTAATCCATCTCGTGGGCAAATTTGCGTGATTCTATTTTCGGATCAATTCGTTTGCTTTCACTCATCTCTCTACTACTCAAAAGATTTGAATTCGATAGCATTGTGGAACAAACTAATGAGCCGATGGAATTTATATATTTTGATCTACAGCTGATTGGAATTTTCGGACACAATATTATCACGCAAGGGATTAATTTAATGAAAAGCTGTGTTCTTAGTTTGGCAATATTGCCCGCTCCGGATAACTCTCGAAAAGTTCCAGTTTGCATTTTTAGAGATTAAACAAAATGTCAAACACTTGAAGGCTGTATTAATTCGGCAAATGGCACGCATCTGCTAAACCACAACATTTATATAGCATCGCGCTTCAAATAACATATATTTATCTTCATCACGACACGTTTGGCGTGTGGCTTCGTGGCTAAGCATAATTTATCATTTACACTAAGAACAGTGCCATTTCGCAGTGAGACCATTTTAGTGAAAAATCAACGAAAACATTTCAACGAAAGCCCTAACTTACATCTGAATAAATTTTGGTCCCTGAGCCACGTTATCAACGTACAAATTCTCTATAGTGCCTCATACTTAATCCATTCAACATTACTGTGGAGAAATTGCAATCCATTCCTTGAAAACCACAAATTTGCAGTCTTCGTTTCAATAATTGTTTTCACCTGCAAAACTTGTAAAACCTTGTATCATCTTTGGAATTTAAAAAAAGGGAAAAGAAGAAAATGGAAGTTGGTTTACCTCATAATGATATGGTGCGATGGAGAAACCTAAGAAAATAATAGAAATTAATTGTCCTTTATTTTTCTACTTAGAATTGAAAGAGAAGAAAGCTTTAGGAAGTAATTTCAAGCTCACCACGTTGCAACTGCTAATCGATTTTACAATTTGCGCGGTAAATAGACCATTTCAGTTCGAATTTTTGAGAACACTCCCTAGAATGACTGCTGACGTTTAAAGAATCGACAGCGAATGAACCTTATTGGTCAACGAAGAGTTACAAAAATGTCTAATATTCAAGAAATATCTTTCAATTCAAGGCGAAACTTCAACCTGTTTTTTTTTCTCTCTTTATCTTTTTTCCTGTCAGTTTTTTACGTTTTTTTCATATCACTGTTTAATTAGGTAAAATTTCCCTCAGGAGGTGCGGCACCATGGTACTCTGAAAGAGACGGGGCTCCAAAACGCAATTTCATGGAAGAGACACCAAATGGATGAGATCATTCCTCTGTTTGATTTTTTTTTTTTTTTTTCCATCGTGTCCAAAACTACCTTTTGTTTAAGGGAGTCAAAAAAATTATTGTTGGGTGAGATGCAGAACTGATGACAAAAAGATGGTTAAGAATTGAGATAATTTTAAAAACGAAATATCGAAGGTTAAACGTGAAAATTTCAACCTACATCTTAAAAGTAGTACAGAGTGTGACTAAGTTCAGTTCAAGATCCCTAAAGTGTTCGAAAACCGAAAATCCATATTACTTCATTCTTATTTTAGTTAGACGCGTCACATGGATTTTGAATTACTAACACTTTTTGAAATTTAAATTAGGCCTCGCAAATGAATAGGATGGAAAAATTTAATGAACACTCTTGGTAAACATAATGCTAATTCAAAGCTACCTGTTTAACGCCAAACGATCCATTAAAAACTTCGAGTCAATTAACATAAACACTTTGTTTTCGACTGGAGTTTTCCTATTGCGAAAAGTAAACAAACTGCCTTCGCACCTACTGAAAACAAAATTTACCTTTTCCCACTGTGAGATAAAAATGTTTGTCCAGGGCAGTTACAAAATCTAAAGTATGTTATAATTTACGCCGCAAAATGTGTTGTACCCTCCCTGAACACAATAGGAAATAAGTAATTTAATGTCCAACAATGGCTTATTCAAAAAGTGTAATTACACATTGTGGGGGTTTCCGAACGAGTATGCACATTTACGCTTATGAAGTGGTTCATTACGACAAACTCTTCCCGAAAATTCGAGATTTCGTTTCAGAATTCTAACTTAATTTAAATAGAATTGTAAAATCTGAAGCTAAATGTCTTTGAATAATTGTAACGAGCGATGTTATTGTACCTGATAATTTCTTACCTGTAAAGCAAACAATCTTCGTAGAGTCTGTTGAAATCTTCGCGCGAGATCAACTTGCAGCGATTTACGACTTGACCTATGGCTCCAACACTTCGCATCATGCGAACTTGCTCCACGTTGCAGTTCTTTCCTTGAATGTTCATCCGTTTGAGTTTTGTGTACACAGTGTGCATTCCAGACACAAGATCCTTCAGAAAATACTCATACACTTGCGGAAAGCAAAGCAAATCTTCCCCCTCGACGTTGAAGGCGGCGATTTCTTCCCCGTTCAAATTTACCATTTTCAATTTGTAATCGCTCCCGTACGGTAATGTAGGAGTTTCCACTTCAATCGACTCGTAATGGTTTGGCGTTTGAGGAGAATACACTGGCGGCTCCATGTTTTTTTATGCCGGAGTTGCTGATCGCCGCAGTGCGCAATTGTGTAACCGGCTCAGCGCATGCAAAAGTACTAATAGTAAACTCCAAGAATCAACAACTGTTAAATTTTGACAATGTCTAACCACGTGGGTAAACTTAAAAATCCCGCAATGCTCATGCGTTAGAAGGTAGCCACGCCCAAAAATCACAGGCCGCTGATAGGCGATTGGTAGAAATTAGCGAGACTGTCATCAATCAGTCTGAAGTTAGATTTGTGATGTTTTCTTCTGCTGGGAAGAAGAGTTTTTTCTTACACCAACAATCGCACCCGGGAATCAATTTTCAGATTTGATATTTGCCAGTGTGGCGTGGGTAGCTCTTGGTTTGCGTGGAGCGAATCATAAAGCTTTCGTGTGTTTGGCATATTTTTATGGACATTCCAAGACAAAATTGAATTGACTTAGATAATTACACATCAGGAAAATGGGTCATTTAGTAAATAGCTCGCTCCCGGAAACGCCAAGATCTGTAACAGTGTATTGTTTTCATGATAATCTGAGCTTGCATTTGCCAAATGGAATATGAATGATTTTGACAGATTTGCAGACTTGGGCACAGGCATTTTTAACGCGTTGATCGAAATGTGTGCTTCTGTAGGCGATATTTGATCAATATCATAGATTTATGGTTAAAAATAGAATGTTTTGGTTGTGAACTTGATTTGTTAAGTCAATTCTGTGTATTATTTGTGAATTCCTTTCTCACGGCGTATGATTTTGTTGATAACAGAATTCAGCGACATTGAACAGGAATACGTCAAAATCAAATCTGATTGATCCTTTTTCTACCAACAGTAACTCAACTCATTTTCGCCTTGCAGATCACGTCTCAAAACCCCAAATATCATTCTATTTGAAAGAAACACGACCTAATTTTGTGGATTCATTGGGTTTCTTTGTGTGGTGGCAAAAAGCATTGCATAAATACACCCTTGAACCGTGCTTAGCTTTGTAAAACCACATTAAACAATAAGAGACTGAGGTGTCAGAATTTCAATTAACGTGAAATAACTCAGTCGCCGTTTTCAATAAATCAGAAACATTCTGAGGAATGAAACTTGAGGAGAAAAGCCTCAATTATTTCGAAAGCTGGGCACGAAAGCCACAGATTCTTCCAAAACGTTCTAGCTCTTGCAGTTTCCAAATTTTTAAGCGGCAAACTTTACTCGACATTAATTGTTTTCTGTTCAAACATTTAGCTAAGTAAATTCTAAGAATCCTGTTGGTCGAAATGTGATATTTTGACAATACATATTCACTCAGCGCCAGTGTTATTATTGTTTTGTATTCTGTGATTTTCAGCATGATAACACAATTGCCGGCTTCCCTTTTGTCACGGTAATTTCAATGCATGGCTTATTTGCTGATTTGAACAAAAGCCTGCTCTGAACTCAAAACCCCACAGGCGAACGCGTCTCTGGAAAACAAACAAAAAACCCGAAGTTTTAATAAAGCCATGATCTTAACTTAAACATGATGATGCTTCTTGGCATACATATTGAAGTCATTACCTTTGTTGTCAAGCCAATATCATTTAATTGCCCAAGTTTCATTCAAAAAGCGCCCGTTGCATTCCATTTCAAAATGCTCACGTTATCTGTTGAGAAATACAGAAGCTCTGGATCTTAAAACGTATATTTTATGCAACAAGAAAGACGAACAGACTAACAGTGTTAGCCAAGTTTGCGTCCTACAGCACGACAATTGCTGACAGTCATTGTTGCATCGCATAAAATGAAGTGTACCATTAAACTGTTTCAACTAGGGTCAGCTGAATGACCAGTCATATTCCCCATTCAAGCTGTCTATAAGCAACCTCGAACAGCAAGTAAATTGTACCTATTTTCAGTAGGCCGAGGCTTTTATTAGTCCATAATCTTCCGAGTCCACTCCTTTCTCCATACGCGGGTTGATAAAAACACAGTTTCCGGAAATATGTAGATCTTAAGTACCGGAAATGACAGATTTTTCCCTGAGTTTCCAAAAGCAAAACGTCATATAACGAGGTAAAATATATTTGGGAAAGAACAGAAGTAGATCCAAACTAAGACCCACTACATGGTAACTGGGGCGCCTAAAATCTCGCTTCGACGGGCCATGATCCTGTTGGTTTGAAGAAAACCATGCCAAACGGCTTCTCCAAAGTTGCGCTAATTTCACCCGTATTGTGGGTAAAAGCGCGCCTTCCTCTAGGTTATGACGTAGCCCCAAAACTTGGATACAATAGGCAATCGATTTTTCAGTAAAAATATCTTAGTTTCGTGGTAGCTGCCTCCAGATTATTCGTTATGGGATTCTTAAAAGCAGCGGGAGAATCATTGTACCATTAAGATTAAGAAGGATTGCCCTACAAGCGGAAAACCAGCAATGGATGAAAGAGAACTTCTTATTTTTTTTCTTTTTTTTTGTAACGAACACATTTTTATCTGAAAACTTAAAAACAGAAATATGCTTAGTGCAATGGTGAGAAACTCGATTGACGTGTCGGCAACCAAGACAATTAAGAGAACTGACAAATTTTTTTAGTTTAATTAATTGCGACAAATGATATCTTCTCAAGAGCCTTTTATTAACGGAGCCAAAACACAAGTCTGACCGTAAAAACAAAGTTATGTTCCAAGGCGACTTCCACGAAAAGTTTATCACAGCACGAGTTGAACCGACAATTACACTGAGAGGAAGTATCACAGATGTTTCCATGGCATAAACAAACATAATAGGAATTTAAGCAGGAATTTCGAAAAACTGTGAGAAAAGGCATTGTCTGACAACAAGAAAATAATAATGATCTCAAGCCGACAAGGAGAAATCAGTTTTCGAGATGCAAAACATTTCGTGACACTGATAATAGCCACTAACGTCATGGTAAGTTTGAGCTATGAAAGAGACTAGTATCGGTCTGCTTTAAGTTCAACTGGAGTTAGCCCTTTCCCTCGGGCCTTTTAATTTCGTTATCCTTAAAATTCAAGAATTAATTAATAAGCAACTTTATCAAACCATTGTAGTTCTGTTACCAGCTACAAATGAAGTGAATAGCCAAAACTTTACAGCTTTAACGTGTTGTTTTCATGTAAATCCAAATTCCCTTAAGTAAAGTACCAGAAAATGTGTTTCAGCTAGAGGGGAGAATTACTAATCAGATACTGGATTCAACGGGTTCATTGTGTTGGTTGGCGATTAAATTCCGTCATTCGTCCGGCATGGGATAAGCACAAGTTACTTCAAAGTCTGTAACCAAGGCCACGACAGTTATACCCTGGATGGCAAGCTCTGGACGAGAATACTGAGTACAAGCCGGTAAGAGAGCAGATGATACGTAGATGGAGTCTCACTCGCGTGTCTTCGTAGCAACCACTTGGGCGACAATGCGAAGTAAAGAAACGCACAAGAGCCGATGCAGAGTAGATGAAATCTCACTTGCGCGCCTAGGAGACAGGCTGTCGGCAAAAATACAAAATAACACGCGCCGAGTAGAAAAGATGATGAGCAGATGAAATCTCACTCGCGCGTCTTTGCGCCAAGCGCTCTGCGAAAAACACAAAATAACACGCGTGTAAGAGAGCTGATGAAATCCCACTCGCGCGCCTGGGTGACAGGCTGTCGGCAGAAATGTAAAATAGTACGCGCGCAAGTGAAAAGATGATGAGCAGATGAAATCTCACTCACGCGCCTGCGTGGCAAGCTCAGCAAGCCTCTGATAAACAGCTTCTTCTAGCTTTCCAAAAAGCCGCCTTCTGAGTCTCTCAGCATGCACAATTCAGGAGTAATACAGAAAGGAGCGACCTCAGTATTTGCGCCGTAAGATTCAGAGTAAGAGGGTGTGGTTCAAGTTTAGATCTCGCTCATGTTTCATCAAATTCCTGACTCTTCTACGTACGACTTAATTTAGTAAGAAAGAGGATGAAAAAGAAAATAAAATTATCACACTGACCAAGTAACCTAATAAAACAAGACAAAAATAGTTGATGAAGAACCGGAAAAACAAACCAAACGAAGGCTAAAATCTTTCCGTGAGCGTCGGAACATATTAATATCCTTTAAAACACGAATCAATGGTGTTAAGAAACACAGCGAACTGAAGTATGCAATTCTACTCTTATCTAAACATGGGAAATTCCTCAGAGCTGTATGAGTAAGGTTCTTCCGCTAAATAGTCCTCGAGCAAACATTGTTCCATGTAGAGTAGTTTCGTGAAATTTCATTCCGTCACGTAAAGGCAAAGCAAAGAAAATGAAGTCGACATTTAGCTAAACTAGTTCAAGAAACTCCAAAGCAAAAGTATCCTTCGAAATACAGAGAAAAATGCACTACATGTAATTATGATATTATACAGAAAAGGTAGAAACTTCGGCGTCCCTCCATCATTTAATATTTTGTCATGAGGAGAGCTGCACGCATCCGTCGCCCACATCTGATTTCCCTACAGTTTTCAGCAGTAATAGACTTTCACGGTGACACCCACGTCATTAACCAAGTCCGGCCTATTAGGGTGCATTAAAGTAGCCGGGCTGAAAGTCCTTTCGTGGCAAAAAAGTTTCAAAGGAAACATGGAATTTCGTATCGCACCACCCCTGCACCACACTCAGGCTTTTTAATGAAAACTGATAGTTTTAATCCTTAGCTAATTTTCATCATTTATTACATCTTTTCTTTAAGTTCTTTTAACACGAGGGGATTATAAGATTGACAAAGTCTCTACACGAAAGGTCAATAGCATCGCTTAGTTGAAACACCAAATGATCGCGGTATTCTTACGTCCTCAGGTAGTGCTTGGCTGAAGGATTTCAGTGAATTCCTGGTTATTCACTTTTCTTTGCGCAAATATTCAACTCTTTCAGTAATTTGAGCATGCAATTCAAAATGTACTTAAGATGGTATAAATGAGACTTGGCGTTTTTAACGTGATTTACGCATTAAAGAAGAGATAAACTAAAAGAGAATTATCAAAAAAATTCGCAACGTGATAATTTGAGGGGGAATATAACGAACGCAAATCAGGTAGTTTATATGAGCGGAAGAAGCCCACGTTTTATATTTGGTGAAACAAGACAATGCGTGGCATTGTCACAGACAATACGTGGCAGCGCAATTCGGTCTATAATTCTTCAAGAATTAGACACCACCCAATTTTAGGCGCTTCTTGACTTTACGTGCTATCCAGTTAGAGGCGCCCTAAGCGCCGGACAATCGTCGGTGATACCCCACCCAATTTTTAAAGCAATCAGATTTTTGGCGATTTCCCATTAAAAGGCGTCACCCAATTCTGGGTTCAGTTCTATTTTAGAAACCAATTAGTTTTAGACGCCGACTAGTTGGTGGCGCCATTTGATTTTAAGCTTTAACCCACTTTTGAAAAGCCTAATTAAAATCGCAGGCAAACTGAGGGCGATACCCAATTTCTGGCGCTTGTGAAATGAGGCTTCGAGCAACTCCAGGGATCATCATCCAATTTAGCGATATATGGCTTATGGCCAAAATCGTGTTTTTTACATGAAGCGGTTTAGAAAACAAACAATTCAATAAACTCCTGCTGGTTACATTGGGAGTTCAAACGATTAAATTCACCGTTGTAAGCGTGGCCATCCTTAACGAGATTTCATATTTCGGAGACGCAATCAAGCAAAACAAATGTTTAGATTACTAGTCTTGCTAGATTGGTAATTTTTTGATAAGGAAATCAATAAATTCTGAGAAAGAGGTTTTTCCCTCGTGGTCGACATCCGCACGGGAAGATTTAGATGTATATGTTGTGGTTCAATTTTATCCTTGGTTCAAATTTTATTTTCCTTTGTTTCAAATTCGTTATAATATATTACAATACCCAAAAACAAAAGAAAAGAAAATTTGAACCAAGGATAAAATTGAACTACAACATATACAGCAACAGTGTGACCAGGCCTTCATTATTGGCGCTTCAGCAAGAGTATTCCTTCGCCTGTGGGGTAGTATGAGGTCTTGAGCAATGCGAGCTGGCAAGAGGTCTGCAAGGGGTCTAGTACTGTCTCATTATTTGTACCAGACCCGTAGCAAACCTCTTCAAACTCTTCTCAAATCTTCCTGCGGGTGGAAACGCGCGTTCAGGGGCTACAACATAGCAGACAAAAAAGACTGAGATACAGCTTTATACAGCAAAAAATATTCCTCCATCCTTCTTAATGAAGGATTAAGAGGCGCTTGCCAATTTTAGGTTTCTAAATCATCTGGTAAAAATTTCTAATTGTGATGTACACTTCATACATGCATAGTTTGTCTCTATTACGCACACTTTGGAGAGGACAACATTTCCTTGCCAATTCAGAGGTGATTAAGATGTAACTTCTCCCTTCAATATCCATACATTATCCAGCAAACAGGTAATGAGAATGCTCAAAGTTATCAGATAAAAATTGTTATAGAGTTTCAGTCGGTGTCGGGTGAGAATAGACTGACCTTCAGCTGGGGATACTCTCTGTATACAACACCACATTCTCTTCACCAATTTACCTGAAAGAGTATAGCAGCTAACCGGGATAATTTCTACCTTTGTATTAAGATTTCGAGAGTCTATAGCCAATGACTCGACCCCATGCCGTCGTCGTTCGTTAATACAAGCTCAGTGACATTCAACTTGTCCAGTAGTGTTGTAGTTTTGGAGCCATATTTACACCTTTCCTTTACCAAGGTTGAAGATAATAGATCGCAGGTTCAGAGCCAAAAAGGCATTCTGTGGATCGCAAGTTCGTAACATTTCTTGCACTACGGCGGATATCTGAAAGGCTTCGAAGTATCGGCGATTAGACCTGCAAAAAATCGAGCGACTGAGAGGACAGCCCGAAAGTGTGAAGTGGAATACATCTGGATGATTCATTTTGTTTCAGGAGAAGGATTAAAGATAGTTTTACTTACTTGATTTTAGAGAGTCTTTGTAGGACAATGCTCAATTTTTCTAGTATTTTAGGATCCAGTCCCTTGTGTTGCAGCAAATTCACGGCTGTCCTGAACCAGAGTTCGTTTGAACAGCTATCCAGAAACACCGCGGTAAATGCTGAGAGTGTATAACCAAGGGGGGGTTAGTGTCTCTTCGGATAACATTCTTCGCCGCCTCAATTACATGCATAATGCAGAACGTTATTCGAATGCCTGGCTAAAAGCCATACTTTAAATCTATATCTCTAGAGGCATACTAAAAGGAATGGGTCTTGGCTCAAAAACCAGTCCATTGGTTCGCTTCCAGATCTCTTCCGCGATTGAAATTAAAAACGTTAATATCACGATCTCGAAAGTTAACACGTCATATTAAAAAAGAGAAGAAGAAAATATATTAAAAAAGAAAACATTAAAAGCTTTTTGTAAAGCAACTGCTAAGGGAGCGCATGTTATAGCTATAAAGTACCGCAATAGTTCGTAGACCCACAATGTTTGATCTTGGTTATAGTGGACATGAATGGGTTGAGAATTACCACAACCCTGCTCTCGTTCTTAAAGTCGCAAACTTCCAAGGAACAGCTGCTATTTTCTGTTTCTTACTCTCAATTTAGTGCCATTCCTTTGATATCCCACTACTTCTTAATTTCAATAAGCACACAGGCGCTAATTCGAGCTTAAATGAGCAACAAAACCCCTTCTTTAGAACGAGTGAATAAATAAGTAAATAGGACTTCTGAAAATGATTCGTTGTAAAAGGTAAGAGTGTAAATCTTTGACTCTATACATGGCATGGCATGAACCGCATCAGTTTATCACGAGCTCAAACTTACGTGAATCGACAGACATCAGTAGCATTACATCGACAGCACTTCCGAGGAGAGCCTGGTAAGGAGAAAAATGCAGAACTTTCAGCTGAAAAAACCAACTTTTTAAAAACGCTCTGGATCCAATTATCCTATCCAGTAATTTTCCTGTAGATTAGTGCAATGATTTATCTAAAAGACCATGTCCTGTGCTCTCAATATGCTCTCCCTCTAACGACCTCCGTCTGAAAAAGAGTTCAAAACCTCCCCTCAAGGAGTGATCTAAATTAATAATAAAAAATCTCTTCAGAGAGAATTAACTTCCCTGCAATCACTGAATTCTGACCCCCCCCCCCCCCTCACCTTATGCACAGGCTTCATGTATGATAACACCACGTATACTCCCTCGTAAGTAAGAAAAATCTGCTTGCCCTGTCACGGAAAAAGAAAATGCAAATCATCTATAACAAACTAGAAATTACAGATTATATCAAACTGTGTTGGAATGATAATTATTAGAGAGAGATAAGCATCTAATTTATCTTTACAACATCACCCTCGAATCAGACATTAAGGTCACTTCAACAACTTAAGATTAAAGCTCTTGATTGTTAAACAAATTCTCCTTGTCAGCACCTTAGAAATTGTAATGAGAATACGTATTGTATGGAGAATATGCAACCGTTTTTCATGCTGTCATGCAATGCTCTCCCGGAAGCGTTGCAAACAGCGACTTGTATTCATCTCCTTCACCGTCACCGTTATTGTCACTGTCGTCATCGTCGTTATCATTTCAAATTATTATTGGATTTTCTCCAGCCCTTAAAAACCTTCCAGCTGGTCGTTGCATCTTAGTTCTATTCACACCCAAGTATTAAAACGCTTGTTTCGAAGGCCAACTCACCAAATCGTCTTTCAAGTCAGTTTTTAAGACATCAAAGACATGTGCCAAATAATCGACTACAAGAGAACAACAGGATAAAAAAACATTGGTTAAAATATTTGCCTTTCAAAATCAATTTCAATTTGTACTCACATCATTCACGTAAATTTGAAGGTAGCTCTTTGGCGCAGTTTCATTTACAATTGATTCAAGAATTCACTGAAGTCAAAGACCGTGGTCTGATGTGTAACAAACTGATACTAAACTGCAATGAGTGAAAAAATTGACACGAACAAGCAGACAAAAATAGCTGAAATTGAAGCAGTTGTCTCACCTCTAGCGAGTGTTTTGAGGATAATAAGAGACGAAAGAATCCTGACAGCAACTGTGGGGCTATGAAAGTAGATGTCAACTTTCTGCTTGTCACTTTTCAGACAAACTCCTTCCTCTGAAATTTTTGACACCTGAAAAATAGCCAGTGTTTTAAAAGGAATCTCTGTATGAACAGTTCACTCCATTGCATAAATTTCCGTCAAACTTTGTCCGGACTGACCTGTTCAAAACAAGACTCTGACGCAACCGTCTAAAATTAGACGAAACCGTCCGGAAAGAGACGGAACTGTCCGAAATGAGACGGAACTGTCCGAAATGAGACGGAACTGTCCGAAATTAGACGGAACTGTCCGAAGTTAGACGTAACCCTCCAAACTTAATAGAAGCGGCAGGGACGAGACGAAGCCTTCCGAAATAGGACGCAACCAAATTAAAACCAAAGTTATGCTTGTTAAATTAGATATTTATTTATTCATTGATAATTTCTCCAACCCACGCAATAAATCAAAAAGAGACTATTTAAAAGAGGAGTTTTTTTACCTGAGGTTTGTACAGTTCTTCACCAATATGTCGCAATGTGGACGCCAAAGCAGTTCTCTGCAAAAATGACAACAAAAAAGCAATTGAGAGGGAAAAAATGGAAACGCATTTAAGACACAGGGTCGTTAGTCCAATAACAGATCTATGTTGAAAAATGCCATTGTGTTTGGTGCGTTTAGGTACCTGCGATCCTTGCACTGTCTGTTCCATGTAAACAATACTCCAGTAGGTGAACTGTAAGCAGGGCTGTTGTAGGCGAGGATTAACACTTGGTAGAATACTAAGTATGTCTGACATGCCGGGTAAAATCTGCATAGCAAAAAGGAAAAAAAAATAACAGTAATAACTAATTCATCTTCTGACGTTTCTCGAGAAAGACGTCTGGTTGAAGAAACAATCTTTTGGAATTTTTCTACCAAGGAACCAAAACTATGCTATATAGTGTCGAACACACGCGTTGTGTTCACTTTTTTGTTCTGCCCCGCAAAAATCTGTCAACTTCCCTTCTTCTCCTCATAGGATCCACCCAGTTCAGTTCAGTTTTCATTGAACATCAATCAAGCTGACTTACTTTCAAACATTTTTCATGTACCAGCGACGAGGGAATGTCTAATTGCTGTTCTTGTAGCCTTCCTTGTGGCGAGTCCTGAAAAGTTGGCATCTTCTGAAGATGAACTTCTGAAGTCCAATCCAGCAATACAGCCAACACTTCAAATAGACCAGAAAAATTCACCTGGAAATAAAAAAAAACCCTTTTATCTCTCAAGATATGATTTGCTTATTCATTTCAAAGGATTCTAAAACAAGATGATTGTTAAAAAAAACAAAAAAACAAAAAAACGAGGCATTGTGGCAATACAAGGGAAAACAATGACATTACTATTTACAATTAACATAAAAACTTTTTACCTTGTTTTGAGAGAAAGACACTGACTTGGCCACTGTCTCTGAAATAAATGAATACAGATCATTGATTTAAACTATTTCTGAGAAGAAAAAAAGGGACACAACAGACTTCATACACTAAGTTAGTGTGCTGGACTCCAAGTCAAGGGGTCTGGGTTCAAGACCTGACCATTCTTGGACAAAATCTCTTATTCTCACAGTGCATGTCTCCTCCCAGGAATGAAAATGGGCCAGCAAATTGTCAGGGAAGCCTGATGAAATGCCTCATACCCCTAGTAGCTTTATGCAAAGGAAATTGGGACAGTCTCACTGGGTAGACCACTTGCCTTGAGTACAGACCTTTTTTACACAAAAATGCTAATATTTCATGAACGTTGTATCTGCAGGAAAAAATACTGGGTACTAGAAAGTGAGAATCATATCAAATCACTTTTTCATGAAATCCCATTTAAGAACTCCTAAATATATTTCATAAAGTTGAGAAATCAAAAAAAGTACTCCGGCACTGGCAGTGGGGAATGCAATCACTAGAGAAAAGGGAGTACTTATTTTAATTTCTTATTCCTGAATTCTCTTTAGAGGGCAGTTTGTTATTAGGAAATATTGGAAACAATCTGATCTAAACAACACATCTTGAACAAGAATATTGTAGGAAAGTACCACTTTTGCCATGCGAAGTAAGCTTGTTATTTCTTTCTTTTTCAATCTCTCTATCCTCTGGCTTGGAATTCCTCTGCAAAAATTCATTCTTTCTCTGAATGGTAAGATTAAATAAAAAAAGTTAATCAAATAAACATTTATATTGACCATAGGTGAAAAGAACCTCATAAAATTGTCTCAGCTCAGATTTTCCCAAAAGGAACCAAATGATGTAAACAGAATTTCTATTTACCTGCAGGTTAGCCAGTCTGTGTTGAACACTCAGAGCTTGAGTCTCAAGCTTTTTGTTTTGAATTTCAAGGTCAGAGATCTAAGTTGATTCAATAACAGGAAACAAAAGACAGTTCCATGAGGATTCTTCCATAGAAATTGAGTGACAGGAAAAAACTCCATTAAAGGAACAAATGTTATTAGTATAGGTAACAACAAGATTTTGAGTGTAATTTGGTGTTAGTAAGCACAAGTAAATTTTTCAAAGACAAAAAAATTGCACAAGCCTGTCAGGCAAGTACAATTGTAGTCTTTGAAAACTTTACAAGTGCTTACTAACAACAAATTACACAATAAATCATAATGTTACTTGTTAATTATTTACATAAAAAATGCATAACAGAAAGTCAAGATGAAAAAAATTTTAGCAGTGCACTTGCTATTTATAATTTGCACCTGTGTTACAACATTGCACTTGTTTCCCAATTACTCTAACGGCTTTTCATATTACAAAGGCACTTATTAATGATCCCTTTAAAATGTTTGAGTAAAGTGAATTCTCTCTATTACCTGTTTCTTTAGCGAGTCATTTGCAGTTTTTATAGTATCAAATGACTCTTTAATCCTCTTGAGTTCCTTTGTTTTCTTATGGATGATTTCTTCAAGCTCACCAAGCTTTTGTTCATATTCCTACAGATTGTTGTAACAAAATTTTTTTCTTCTCAATGACAAACATCAATATGAACTACTCTTTCTTGATTAAGCTCCTAAAGCTTTTCAATTACAAATCAAATAGATTTCAAGTTGCCGTGCATCTGTTCAGTAGTAGATCACAGCTGATGACATTAAAATATGGTAAGAACAAAAAAGTGACACAAGGTGCCACTCAGGAGTGTATCACTGATGTTCTTAGCACAGTGTTATGTCTTTTTTGATCAATTACTGAACAGACCCACAGCATGGAATCTATTTGTTTTATATGATTAAAAAGGAAAAGGTCTTTTAACCCTTTAACTCCCAAGATCTCATTAGTAATTCTCCTCACTGTCTGCCATACAGTTTTTGCAAAGTTAGTTTTGAGAATTTGGTATTGGATCAACTAATAATCCTCTTACTGATATTTTTCTTTATTCTCATCACTTGTTTGCTTGATATTGTATTGATATCATAAAGAGAAATTCTGTCTTGGTCACTTATCAGAGTTAAAGGGTTAATGGTAATGTCATCTATCCATCTGATCATAAGTATGAACCAATCAAATTGCTTGTGCAACTCAGCTTATCATAAAATCAAAGATGGTACTCAAACCAGCCATTGACATTGACATGTAGTCAGGAAAAAAACTTCACCTCAGTTACAGCTTGGCAGCGATTCTCAACCTCTTGAGTCACCACTTTGTCAATAATAATGTCAGTTGTGTGGCTGAGCTTTTCTGCATCTCGTAATGCCCTCTCCCTCTCACGTAACTGAACTTCACGTTTATGAAGAGCTTCACTTTCTTTCTGTTCACACACACACACACATAAAAAGAACAAATTCATTATGGAACCCCGCACAACATTTTTGCTTGGTACATAATAATTACCTCAGTCAACAAAATTAAGCCAATAAACATAAAGCAATGAGTGGAAAAGACAAAACATTTATACTGAAGCATCATGTTTCAATAATTGGCCCCACACACAGTAAACCCCTGACACAATATCAGAGCTTCTCTCCATGTAGGATTGCTAGGGAAACCTGGCAAAATGCTGACAGACCAGCTTGACCTACTTATCCAATCAATGGGGAGTAGCCAAGAATAACAGACATGATCTCCAACTAAAAAACCTCATGATTATTTCCACAAATTCTCCTTGACATATGTATACAGAACAGTATAGAAAACACACATACTCCATGAGTGTTTGAAGCATGCAACTTAATGAAAACCATGATAGGTTAACTTTGGCAATGCAATGTGTCAAAAACTATGTGCACACATTTTTGCCAAGCATGCTCTTTGGCAGGAAAGCTGCTTGATGGCATGATGATTGTTGCCATTTTTAAGCTCATTTCTTTTTCACTTTACATTAAAATGGCTCCCTGTAAATGTTACGCTAACTTTGTAAAACTAGGTCATCTTCCCACTGTGTGAAGGATTAATAGCCCATTAATCCTTCACACCCAAAAATGAGTAAGCTAACCAGGAAATGCAAAGGCAATTTCAGCCACCAGGCATTATGTGCAGACTCAAGGTGAGTCATGGTAATTTTATATCTGTAAAAAAACTGCTTAGCACCAACCTGCAGCATCATGCTAATCTTGTTCAGTTCTTTGTGTACCTTTCTCACATTTTTTGCCTCCAAATGATGCTGTACCTTCAGTAAAAGAATTGCAATAAGTAACCACCTACAGCAATAAAATGTCTTGCCTCTGAGGTCCTATACATCAGAGATATATTTATTTTTTAAACAGTACAGATTTTTTTAATCAATGGCAACATTCTGGTATTTAATTCCTTTGAATGTTTCATGTTACTTTTTGTTACAATATCAAATCCAGCAGAAAAGTCACAAGAACTCACAAACTTATCAAATACAGTACAGCTGAGGGTGTTTTCCTGATAAAAAACCAAGTTAGCCAATTGATTACACCTAGAAAGGTAGCACAGCTGGAAGAGAAAACTATTTATCAGATAATAAGCAATTATTGGATGAGGTTGAGCATGACATCTTACAAAATTGTTTTATTATACAGGTTAAACCAATCTGCAAATTAAGAACAAGACACTTCTCTCTGAGTTTGCGAGAGCTTGAGAACACTACACAAATGAGAGGCTTGGAAACTAGGCAGACCTTGAACTTGACATGATGACCCAACAGCTTCTGTAGATATTGGGTTATCACGTCAACTTAGCACGCTGTTATGTATTGACTGCATGCTCTCGACCAATCTGAGTTTTTCATTGCAAATGTGTAATCATAAATGATAACTGACTACTCAAGGAGCTGACACAGACCACATTTTTAACACTAGGCCATTTAGCCAAATGTCATAAGTCCCTGAATTTGTGCATCCTTTCAAAGAAGCTCCCACTTCAAATAAGCACCCCTTCTGTTGAACAAAATTTTTCAACGAGCACTTTCCCTGCCATCCTTTTCCCTGATTGTTTGAGCATTTTCGCATGATATTTTCACCACCCAGAGTGACCTACAAAGACATTGTTGCACAGCAGAAAGGTGATAATAGAAATAATGTCAACCAGGGGAAATACTGGGGTGAAAAACAAAATTCCCTAAGCTAAAATTATAAGAAATGTATGGCAGTCAGTGCAGAGTACTGATATTTTCATCTTGGATGTGAAAGGGATAAAAGAGTGATCAGTTCACCAGATTACCAAATTAAATGTTTGGTTTGAGTACAATTGAAGTTTGAAAAATAACAACAAGTACCAGGCAAATATGAGATAAATTTGGATTGATGCTACGTATAATGAATAGAAAATTCTTAACATGATTCTCCTGTGCCCTTTTTTTTTTAAAGCATTTGGAGTCACTGGTTGCATAATGAAATACAAAATCAACTGGATTTTCTGCCAAACACACAACTTACATCTTTATCATATGATTTTGTTGCTTGTCTTTGTCTTGCATGAGAACTTAGAGACTTCATGTGAGCTGAGGAATAGTCTTCATTATCTAATGTTTCAAAAATCAAAGGCAGTGTAATGTTATTAAGTTGATATCTACTGTGAATAGAACAAGAGAGATGGTAAGTTTTGAGCTTGGTAACAAAATAGAGAAAGATGTTTTTTTTTTGTCTTGTCAGCAGCATAGGGCAGAGAAAAAATTCTGAGTCCACATGAGGAATTGAATCTCAGACCTATGCATTATGCACTGCAATGCTCTACCACTGAGCTTCAGAGACTTTATGGTGAATAAAGACTATTACAAAGTTCATTTATCACATGCGTCCTGCATACTGTTAGGATAAGCAAAGTCTTTAACCCTTTAACTCCTATGAGTGACCAAGACAGAATTTCTCCTTACAATATCAATTCAATATCAACCAGATGAGTGATGAGAATGAAGAAAAATATCAATTTGGGGATAATCAGTTGATCCAATACTAAATTATCTGAACTAACATTATATGAATTGTATCATTGACAGTAAGGAGAATGATAAATTTGATCTGGGAGTCAAAGAATTAACGCCACATTTTGATATCTTCTGTGATCTATACAGACCCTCTGCAACATGGTGTTAACTTGTTTTATAAGATAGAAAAGCAAATTGTTGTGGACGGTGACATCATCCATGCATCTGTCTTCCAATATATTATAAGAAAGAACCACTGAAAATGTGTTTATCATTCAGCTTGTCACAAAAGCTAATCATAGTTTTTGCATGAGTCAGTTAACATTTATGTCTAAGTAAAGTCACAATAAGGTTGTTAACAAATCTTAGAATGCAAACCACAAACCATCAACATCATCTTCAGTTTCAGAAGTTTCTGTCACAGTCTCAGGAACTACACCATCACCCTCAGCTACTGAACGCTCCAATTGTTTGGAACCCAAACGCACAATCTCATACATAGCTTTTAGAGCTTTGTTGTACTGTCTCCTCTCAGAACTAGAGATACCAGAGGTTGCATCCCTGGCTGTGTGAGGTGGAGTGAAAAGATTTTGGTCTGGGGAGGGAGGATCGGGTTTCTCATCTGCATGAGAGAACACGCTATCCATTCTAAATGTAACGTAAAATAGCGTGTTATTGAGGAAGCCTGGCAAGCTTCAGTACCTTACTTCGCTTAATTACTTACCATTGCCAAGCTAAATGGGAAAACAAGCGAAAAACATCTAAAATCCCATTTTCCTTTGGTGACTGTTATCTATAGCTACAAAGAAAGTTCATTTCTACGTATGTCTGTTCAGTGGTACCACTTTATATAACTACAAAAATATTTAATTTTTCCGTGTGTTTGAGGTAGATAACGGATGACGTTGAAAATATAACCACTGCCCGTTTCGCAGTATTATAACCATGTAAACTTCTAGCAAACGATTTATGGCTAAATTCACTTCTTACCTCTAAGCATGAGGAATTTTAGAACGAATGACAACTTTGAATCTCAAAAAGGTTCACATGAGAAAGCCCTCTCTCTACTTACACAAATGAAATATGGCGGCAAAACAAAACTGAGTGACCAGGCCAGATAGCAACACGCGAGAAACACGCGCGCCTACTACGAGACCGCGCCGAGACGATGAAATGATTTGTAAAGTACTTTCTTGCGAGCTGGGCAGTGCGGAGCACACTGCTGCGGCTTTGTTAAGATACGAAGGAAGAGGAACCGACGTTCAGAGAAAGTTGGAAAGAAAGGGCTAAAAATTACCAATATGGGATTGGCCCTGCCCTAAAAGGACTTTGAAGGAGGGTTGTTGCCCCATCTAAGTCTGCTTTTATCTCGTAGGTAATGCAAGGGAGGTTTTAGCAAACACTGTGCTATAATCGTGCTTAATTTCAATTACCCTGTCCTTCCACCTTCTAAGCACGTCATTCAGCTACAGTAATCAACAACTGAGGCTTTCTTCGCGATAGAGAAAAGTTGACAGGTTGGAAAAGAGGGCAGAATACTGCCCGTCGATTACCCTCGCCTCAACTTCGTATGATCGGCCTCGTTGATAGTCAAACAAAACTACAACATTTCCATGTACAAAATCGTTCTATTTTTCACGGATAAACCTTCCCACTTTAGGAAGCTACAGATAAACCAACCTTACTTGCACACGCTCTGTTTCCTTAAATTTATAATATTCTGAATCGCTCCGTAATTATAAACATTATAGGAAATTTTCTTTAAAAAAAAAACAGCGCAGAATTTCTTTATGTACAAAAATAGAAAGAACTCTGCACTTTATATTATACGATATGAAATGTTTTGTGGAGTGAAGATCTTCGCAACAAAAAACCTACAGAAGTACATGTCTGCTGCAAACTTTAAAAACGCAAAGATTTCTCGCATTAAAGAGCTCTCAAAATAACTGTCAGGTTAAATTATAAAAAAGTTCTCTATATGAATAAAACCAAGATGGCAACACTGCACAATATATTATACGATATTAAATGTTTTGTAAGGCGAGAATCTACCGCAACTTGAACCTCCAAAAGTACATGTCTGCTGAAAAATTTAAAAACGCAACGATTTCTCACATCAAAGAGCTCTTGAAATCACTGTCAGGTTCATTATTAAAAGTTTCTACATATGAATAAAACCAAGATATGAATTTCCTTTATCGTAAAAAATAGCATATGATGTCGAAATTGCAAGAGGAGCCTTCCAGAGCGCAAAGTTATAATACGATATCTTTACAAAATAAATTCGCTATACATCGATTTCTAAATTAGATTCATTGTCTGATATGGACGGCGAATGAGTCAAGTCTGAGTTTGATCCATCGTGCGAGTCTCTGCGCAGGTGCAGTACAGGTACGTGCATCGAGGACGGCCGAGAACCGGATTTGGGCGTGGTTCCCGAAGTGGGAGAAAATGCCGGGGTTGATGCTCCTGTGTCCAAAGGAGAAACTGAAGGAGAACGAGTTACTAAGGGCGTAATGGCCGGAGTAAAGTTCGGTGAGAATGCAGGGGAAGTGTACCGTGTGGAAGGAGGACTAATGGGTGAGCGCGGAAGTGAAGACACCGAAGAAAGCATGTCCGTTGTTACTAGCCCTGTTGGAGGGTTTCGGGAATCACGACTCGAAGGCAAGCTTAAACTCACAGTTTTCTTTGGATGTGCATCGTCCTTCATTTTACCAATTTCAAGAAAAACATCCGCTAACGGCTGGAACTGCGGGCCCCAGTCCAGAAGGTAATCCCAATTGTAGCTTCCTGTCAGCTCTTCCCGACTGCCCACAATCGAACTCAACGATCCACCGTACGAAGGATGATCGTGTCCTTCTTCAACAAACGGTCGCATCCCATCAATAATCGATTCATCTTCGTCGGCGTCGACTTCGGCTAGCTTGGCGTAAAGCAAATTGCTGACGTCAACTCCGCCGTCCGCCTCTCCACCTCCTTCTTCGCCGAAGACATGGAGACTTTCTTGACTTCCAAGCCGTGCCAGCAATTTTTCGATTTTGTCCGAGTGTTTATCAATCGCCAAACCTTCCCCTTGCATCATGCTACTTGCGTCGCTGATTGTAAGTTGAGAAACTTGATCAGAATCCTGCTGAATTCCCGAATCAGGTCCCACAACAGTTTTGACATAATTCTCGGAGTGTAAACTTCCAATATCTCCGTTTACGATCACCGGATGACGCCCGTCTTCAAAATCAACGCCTTCTGAAGAACCTCGGCCGCTCGACGCGCTATTCGGTGTATCCGAAGAGTCGGTTCCACAAGCCGGTGAGTCACTCGGGCCGTTCAGAGGCGAACCTTCCTGAGAGACACCGCGAGGCGTAGAAACATTCTCTAGGGATGAATCCACGTGGTTGATATTCCCATTTGGAGCTGAATACACCGTAATCTCATCGAATGAACCATCATAACGCAACCGAGGATGCTGACGACTTCTTTTCTTCTTCTTCTTGCGTAAAATAATGGCCGCCATGACGATGAAAGCAATCAAAATTACCACTACTAAGATTGCTAGGCCAATAATGATGTAGGTATTTTTGGATATTCCTTCGTCATCGCCATCACCTCTTTGTTCCGTATTTGCACATTCGGCGCAAGCAAAATCAATTCCAAACTCTACCGATGCCAGCCCCTTGAACGAGTTTGGCTTACCACTGTCTACCTGCACGCGAAGCTTGACCTTTGTCACGTCAATCTCTCTTCGAAACCTCCGTGATCCGATCGATACATCATCGGTTTCTTCGACACTTCTTCGTTTTCGCCGTTTGTTGTTCACTTCACTGAGCGACTTGTTGACGAAGATAATTCCAGTGGTTTCATTTATCGCAAACACATCTAAACTGACAAAGTCGAAGGAATAACGCAAGCGGCCATCTTCGCCGTCATCTTCGTCGGACGCGACAACCTGACCGACAACGTAACCAATTTTGGCGTTTCCAGGAACTTCTTCGAACTCATAGCTCGACTTTTCAAATGTAGGTTCAAATTCGTCCACGCTTTTGATGTTCACTGTTAAATTTACCGTGTTATCTAAAGGAGGTTTCCCTTTATCCACGGCTTTGACTAGCAGCCAGTAAAGATTACGAGCCTCGTAATTGAAAGTAGCGTTAGTGCTGAGCCTTCCGCTGTCGCTTTCGATGATAAACAGACCTTGTCCACTCCCTCCAATGATGCTGTACATAACGACGTTGTTTTCGCCTGAATCCCTGTCTTTCGCGTTAAGCTCGTAAAAGAATGTTCCGACGGGGGAATTTTCTTCCACTCCGACATCTTCGGGATGTGGTATGTGAAATTCGGGTTTGTTATCGTTCACGTCGCGTATCTTGATACGCACAGATGCAGGCTTTGACTTTGGCTTAAGACCTAAAAATGTTCATAAAGAAAAAACAAAAGAAAACTGTTTGAGATTGTCTCCCAACCGTGAGTAAAATATCTGAACTTCAGTAGTGATCCAATACCAAATTCTCCGAACTAAACTCACAAGAATTGTATGGCAGATAGTAGTGAGAATTACTAATTGGATCTTAGGAGTGAAAGGGTTAAGAAGTTTAGTACATCTTCATTTATTGAGTTTGATCTTTAGCCTCTTTGTCAAAAAAGCAATTTTCTTACTTATGCTCAGCTGATCACCTCTAAAAAACTAGGCGAAGTATTAAGTAAGGTTTTACTTGGAGGGCGTTTTCTTTTTTATTGCACGGTGAAGCTGCAAATTTCTCCTCGGAGACTTATCGTTAAAACCTAAGATTTGAGTTTGCTTACCTTCATCACTGGCTTGTATCGACAATCTATGTTCCTTAATACTCTCATAGTCCAAACTCGTGATCGTAACAATTTCACCAGTCCTACTGTTTATTCTAAAAGACTGCTTGCCATTTCCTGAGAGGATGGAAAACACCAGCCGCCCATTGGCTCCGGAGTCTTTATCCGTCGCATTTACTCGGACAAGAGTCGTTCCGATCGATACATTTTCGTACACTTCTTTGACATATTCCGTCGGATCAAAGACTGGTGAATTGTCATTGACGTCAGTAATAGTAATGTTCACCTCCACAACAACACTCTTGTTTGTGCTTTCATCTCGCGCTTCAACACCCATTAAGTAATTCTTTTCCGATTCATAATCCAAGCCAAATTTGCTCACTTCGATGATTCCACTTCGAAGCCCGATCCGGAAGAGACCTTCTGAGTTTCCAAATTTAAACTTGTAACTTATCTTGGCTACGTTCATTCCTGAGTCATCGGCGGCGGAGACTGTCAGAACTGTAGTGCCAGGTGGGGCGTCTTCGGCAATGCTCTTTTTATACGCTGGCTCCCTAAACATTGGTTTTCGGTTGATTCGGATTTGCACCGTTACGAAAGCACGCTGTTGAGGCACCCCTCGGTCAATGGCCGAAACCACGACGAAGTAAAGCGATTCTCGATCACTAGTTTCGATCTTTTTCGCCGTGTAGATGACACCCGAGGTAGCATTTATACGGAACACGTCTAGAGAGGTCACGAACGCGTATCTCAGTTCTCTGTTTGAGCCATCGTCCTTGTCTTCAGCGCTAACTTTTAAGATGGACGTACCTTGGGCAGTTTCTTCTGAAAGTGTGGCCTGATAGGAGCTTTCCAAGAACTTCGGAGCATTGTCATTCACATCTTTCACGTTAACAGTCACTGTGGTGTGGGACTTGTAACGGCCGTCGCTACAAGTTACATTTAGTTCATAAGACGTGTTACGCTCGTAATCCAAAGATTCCAATAAGGTTATCTCTCCTGTCAACTGATCGATGCGAAACACATCATAACTAGTCTTGTCGTTGCCAAAAGAATACATCAAATTTGGATGTTTGTCCTTGTCAGTGGCAGCCACGCGCCTAACGAGGGACCCGACTCTTAGATCTTCGTTAACGTTCACTGAATACGGCCCTGAGAATGTTGGGATGTTATCGTTGACATCGACAATGTTGACAACCACATGGCTTAAACTGGACCTAGATGGGGTTCCCTTGTCTGTCGCGTTAACAACCAAATCGTAAACTGGGTGCTTTTCGCGATCAAGGATACCA